GGAGGGAAAGGGAGGGAGAGAGAGAGAGATATTAGGAAGGGGGAGGGAAGCAAGTAACACATGAAAACAATGATAGTATGATATTCCTAAGTAATTGTAATTGTACGAAAAACTTCAATGTAGACATCTCAATTTTACAATCCAATGATCTAGCTCCACAAATCACTTTGTTATCAGCAGTTTGCATGATGGTGCTGAATTGAAAGATGAAGCCCTAAAATTATGTTTTTAAATGTAGTCAAAATCAAACAATTGTCTACAATTTTTTTCAAGCTCAACATTACAATATACAAGTTTTTGTCTTCCATTTTTCTTCTCCCCCCCCCCATCATTTATTGATTGAATAACAATTACATAAAACACAAATACTTATACTTATTACAAAGAAAAACACATGAATTATGCGTTTTTTAACACCTGGAAAATAATGTTAATTATGTTAAATTGACAAGTTATATTACTCTCATCTACCTGCGTTATTCACACTAACTAATAACCATGAGAAGGAACGGCCTTGCCATATGGTCCTATAAAAGGCTGTTTCTGCATGGGGTGTTTGATTATGCGTATTTACATCATAATATTAAGCATCTTTATCTCTCTGTCTGCAGTAAAATGCATATTGGCTGGAGTCTTGTTAATGTTGGTACTTGGAAGCACTTCAAGCCAAGAGCTTCCCTTTTAAGCAGTTTTGTTGTATATGTTTTTCCTTTCGAGATACTTATCCACTCAATGAGTTTGCAGAATGAAATAAACATACACAATGTTTGTGTAATCTACAATTTTCAATTGGTAGAAATCAGAACATAAGTGTAATTGAGATGTGCAATATTTGCAGGAAATAAAATTGGAAATAACAAGGAAATAGGGACCTTGATATAGTATTGCCAGGTTGCCAGACTATTTGTTCCTGTCATACATTATATATTTTGTTTTACGCTGTCTGACCTACTAATGTCAATATTTTTTGCTCATAATCAACTGTGGTCATTTTACCTGGAATAAAATATAGTTAAAATAAGACAAAGAATGCCTTCTGATTCCCTCATTTATGACTCGCATGTATCATGTGTGATCTTGTACCACTAATGAGGTTTTATGGAGCAATACCAATATTGCATCTACAGCAAACAAGCTTATTAATTATTCAGTGACATGAATGTTTCATGCCTCAGACGTTTCAACCAAACGCGTGGAATGTTTTCCAAACGAAGAATACCAATGAAGTGCCCATGTTTACTGTACATACATGTACATGCTCTTATGTTAGCAACGTCTGATGATCGTTGCCTAGAAAGTAAACATTATGTCCTCTCGCTTGTGTTTACACTCTGGTATCCATGGCAACATGCTTCAACCTAATCGTAAGGGGTGATTCTGAATGTCTGCGTATGAGTGTGCAAACAGTATGCTACAGAACATTTTTTTTGGAGAGAAATAAGCTTGAATTGGTCGGGGTTAAAGATGCATGTCACCATCTCGTTATTGGGCACGCCCATGTAAATTAGATATTATGCGTATTGCGTTCATGTCACCATCTCGTCATTGGGCACACCCATGCAAATTAGATATTATGCGTATTCTGTTTATGTCACCATCTCGACATTGGTCACGCCCATGTTAATTAGATATTATGCGTATTGCGTTCATTGTTTTCCAAACTCCCTGGTGTTGTCTGGTTAAAGCTTCTCTTTAGCAGCAAATTAGAGTTGAGGTTATGTGACTCGACCTGTTGTAATGATGTTGATAACATTGTTGGTGATGTGGCTGATAATGATGAATAAAAGGAGGACGACAAAGATGTTGTTGAGTATGATGATGATGATGGTGATGATGAAAATTATGATATTCATGATGATGATGATGTTGATTATGATTATGCCATATGGAGTTGTAAAAAATGTCTTTTTACATGGCACTAACCTTCTTTGGCAAGACTTCTGCTCTTTTTAAAAGGGGAATTTTTATTTTATTTAGGAAGCTTTTGTGATCAAAGTAGCCATATGCCCTCATGGAAAAAAGGTGTGAGACATGAACAAACAGGAATATAAAGGAGAGGAGATGGTGTTCACATTAAATGTGTGAATGAATCTGATGGCCAAATTTCTGTCACTTGCCTCTAAGACTTACATGTAGAGATGAAGTCCGTGATTTTTAACACAGTTAATTTGAAAATCTAGATATTATCATGTTAGTTGAAATAATTTTGATGCCGACACTATAGATTCTGAAAATGGATGCCAACCATGTCCTACCACAGCGAGACCCACATCACTGAAAGGTCATGGAGACGGCCACTGTATGATCAAGCAATCAGTCTGTCTGGGATGAGTGTTTACCTCACAATAGGTGAAGTTAGGCTGCGTTCATGCTTAAATTTTGAAGGCAGAATGAGCGATCTGAAACGCTCATCGTAAACGCTCATCGTGATCGCAGTTCCACGATGCACTGTTCATGCTTACTTCTCTGGCTCCCCCAGGCAATTCTCAGTGTGTGGCCTTAATTGGTCTTCCAGCTGGATTCGCAAACCTTCACTGTACATGCTACGTAGACCCACTAGAGGTCAGTGCGTTGACCCCATTTAAACGCGTTTACAAATTGTAAACGCATCTTTTTGTGAGTTTACGATCGGCGATCGTGATCGCCGTTTTTCGGTGATTCTACAAAAGTGAGCATGAACGCAAGCGTGTTTTAAACTAAACGCGTAACAGATGCCTGATTCTGGCCGTCAAAATCAAGCATGAACGCGCCCTTAGAGGAGAACAAGAGAGGCTAATTTTCATTTGCCGCATCAGAAGCGATGGGTTTAGATCATTGAGGGTCAAGGCCTTGCCCGGGTGATGCCTGCATGGGTTATCATCGCGAATAAGAGAAGTTGATTGGGTGGGTGTGAAGGAGAGTTCAGTCTATTTTAGCGCTTGATATAACGATTTTCTACTGCTCTTTGTTTGAGGAATTTTTGTAATATATTTATATATATATAAGTAAATATAGTAAATATTATGCTATATGATTGGAGGGAGTACTTCATTCTACAAGAGATAGGTATTGTAGGAGATGACCAAGGTCTCGTGGTTAAGTGGTTTAATCATGTGACTGGAGATGAAAAGGTCATGGGTTCAATACCAGGCTTGTCACTTTTTGTCCTATACATGTAGCAAGACATTTCATCTATCTTGCTTCTCTTCACCCAGGAATATAAATGGATACCCTTTATAGAATGTCATGGTATAGTAGCAATATGCTTCTGATTGAATCCAATGACCAGGGTAATAATACATAAAGAGCTATGATCATTTTAATTGAACAGTCTATTTGAATTTCTTTGTAGGTTTAGATAATACTTCGTATTTTTTCTCATTCTTTGCTTTTTAATTTCTGTTATCCACTTTCTGTAAGTCTGGAAAAGGCAAATATATGGACATACATGTATTATAAATGAATTATTCTTATCTTATTTATCATGAATTTTTCTGGATCAAATTGTGTGTGATTGTGAGGGGATTTAAAATGCACATTTACATGTATGTACTACTCATTATAATAACTGAAAGTTCACTCCAAGTCCAAAATTCCTGAGTTTTCTCACGTTATCAAAAAGGGAGAGTGGCTGCCTGCATCCTATCAATACAAATTCTGTTTGTTATCGGATACACTTCCATGTTCCCCTGATACCACATTTCCTAAGCATAGCATCAGGTGACCTTGAATGAGATCAAGTGCACAGCGTTCTACCAGCAACTAACTTGTTATAGAAGCATTAATGATATCCGGTTACTCAATATTACAAGTACATAGCCCCTTGTAGCATATCTGTTCTTCTTCTTCTTCTCCAGGTAAGGTATTGAAGGAAAGGATGAGCATTTTGATTCTTGAATCACCCCACTGGGTATAGTATGGTAGTTGTGGGGTTTACCTACAATGAATCCTGTACATGTTTAAGACAATCAACAAATATCTATTTGCCCTCAAACTGTGGAATTATCTACAAACTGTACTGCAAATTACAAAAACAAACAAAACATCATCATCAAACCATATTTTTATCATAAATTGTAATGCACAAAATTTCAGAACATACATGAAGTATAGCCCAATTTATATATTTTTCAAATACTCAGAATGGAACTTGTTTCTCTATCTCTCTAACTTTTTTGGGGATATATAATTACACTGTACTGCTTCTATTTTGTTTGATGAGTGGGTTGTTGGCTTAGCCAAGGGCTGCAAAATTTGCAAATTTGGGCATATTTTCTTTTTCTTCCTGTGAATGCCACAATTGTTTGGTTTGTCTCAACCTTGCATACATCAAGATACTATGTTGTAGACTATAAGAGTCGATAAAGATTGTCGGGCAAACATATGAGGTCAGATTGACATTGTAGTCTAGTCTTTCAAGTAATCTATACATCAATCATAATTGAGTAAGATTGATTTATATCTCTGAAAATCAAGTATGAATATGTTTGTCAAAGCCTGTTTGATATGAGTGTCTGTGAGTAGTGGTGTAGTGGTTTGGGTGGTTGATGTTGTGTCTCCATTTAGGAGAATTGTGAGTTTGGAACTCTTGTAGTAAATTTCATATTTTGATATTTCTCTTTAATCTTGGTGTAGCAAATAGGTGATGGACAGGTAATGACTTTGATCATAATTAAATCTAGACATTTGATAGAATGATAATATACTTCACCCAAAACAAAAAAAATAACAACCAAATTGAATTTACTATGAATCAGCGATGGTCCTTTCATATCAGTGCTGTAAGCTTGATTGCCTGCGACAGCTCTTGCAGATTGGCTATCGATGTACAATCTCACTTGTCTAGTTGGGCAGTAAATACCATTTCAGTCTCTATATTTCATAAATTCAATTTTGGCAAGGCCTACATAATGTATAGTTCCCAAGTGTTACAGATATGATCAAATAATAGATGTACAGATTATGATTCTATCAATGTTGATACGTACCTTTAAGATTCCTTGACCAGCCGTTGATCACAGATATGGAGCCCCTGGTGTGGAGTTCATGGGTATCCACTCTGGAGACTTCTCTGTCTCCAAGCTCTTCTTCTTGCCAGCTCAGGTAAGTTCTGTCCCCTTCTTATTACTCGCAACAACAAAAAAGGAAGCTTTTGTGACAACATACTTTTGTGAAATGTAAATGATGGTGAATTCAACAGCGTTGGATCATCTGTTTGGACCCAGAAGGATATTATACTTGAATCAAGAGTCAACACCCCTTTTTTGCTCTGAACAAATCCAATGTTAAATTCTGCTAAATTTCTAACAGAAACTTTTGACTCTAGCAACTAACATTTCTTTAACTTTAGTTCCCAGGCAGCTATTGTATGGGCCATTCTTTTCTCTTCTGATGGATTGATGTGCATTTTACTATTCTTTTGCTACATACTTTTTGTTACGACAAAGTAGATGGTTTGTTAGACTTTGAAGATGATTTTCATATTGATTTGATGTTTCTAACAATTCTTTGAATGTTTGTGATACAGGGACGCATCATCAGCTTGCTGGATGACAACAGTCTTCACTTGTGGGAGATCAACCTGAAAGATGGAGGATCCACCATGGAGGAGGTCAAAAACTTCATGATCGAGGGACGGTGAGTATGGAGGAGAAGGAGGAGGGAGGCGAGGGAGGGGGAAGGAGGGGGAGGAGAAGAAGGAGGAGGGAGGAGAAGGAGAAGGAGGGAGGAGAAAGAGGAGGGAGGGAAGGAAGAGGGAGGAAAAGGAGGAGGGAAGGAAGGAGAGAGGAAGGGAGAGACAGACATAGAGTTATATAGGGTACTATTAATTAAATGTATTGTTAACTGTAACTGTATAATTGTTTTAAATGGGGGCACGCTACAAGAGTCCTATCTCGCACCCCGGGGCAACGTGTCTGACACGGCCGGTTGTAGCAACTACTCCGAAAATCAAGATTACAGTAATCTTGATCTAAGGAGACACGAACGAACGAAGGGTAGTATTGGGAGGGGAAGTAGAAAGAGGAGTTGGACGATAAAGATAAAGGCTCCGTCATAAACGAAGTCAAGAACTTCCTGGTCGAGGTTGGTGAGTTTGGAGGAAAAGAAAGCGATAGGGAGGAAGAGAAAGGGATGAAGATATAAAGATGGAAAAATGGAGAGGATTTGATGAAGAAATAGGAGGGTGGGATTTGGATGACAACAGAGGTGCAGAAGTTTTAGATGAGGTATTGGGGTGGGACGGAGAAAGATAGGATGAATAAAGGAGATGAAGGCTTCACAATGGATGAAATAAAAAACTTTTTGGATAAGGGACAGTGGGTATGATAGAGTAACAATGGTAGAGAGAACGAACGGGGGGATAGAGAGGGGAAGGAAGAGAGAGAAAGAGAGAGAGAGAGAGAGAGAGAGAGAGAGGGGGTGGGGGAGGGGAGGGAGAGGGAGAGGGGGATTGAAAGAGTTCAAAAGTTTCAGAGGGTGTTACTTCCAAATAATTTAGGGACCTAGACACTCATACAAACCATCTTCTATGTAAATGCTCTTATTTCCGTCAATCTAGCTTGAAGAAGATCTCCGTCTGTTGCCTGTCGTCGGACGCCTCCCGTCTCTACCTGGGCACAGAGGGCGGTAACATCTATCTCCTGGACGTAGAGTCCTTTGACCTTGAAGACCACATCGTATACCAAGATGTCGTCATGCAGAAGTGAGTCTTGATCTTTCATTCCAGTGTTTATTGCCTTCCTTCCTAATCTAACCAACCTCTCTGTGTAGGACCTATTGTGAAACCAGACACTTTTGTGTGCACGAAATGTTCACAAATTTTGCGAGTGGTTCAGATTTGCAAAAGTGTCATGCCATGAAATTATCAAATCACAATTGACACATAACTGAATTTTTGCTGTGCAGTTTCATTTTGCAAAATTTTCAGGTTTTGCAGTTTTATTCAGTTTGGATAAAATAGGCTGCATTGAATGAGGCTATTTTAAGGTAGAAAGTGAAGAAAATAATGTTGAAAGACAAAATAAATAAATAAATAGACCTAAATAAAAAGAAAAAATAATAATAATAATAGGTAACATGGATTCTTTTTCACAAAATATTTTGCAGTGCCAGCACACATTTTTTTTAAAGTCGACCTTTCATAATTCCTATGTCACTCACATCACCAATTTTGTTCAATTAATTCTGTGATTCAACAAATTTGATTGCACCTTTGCAGTTTCTTTTTCCTTCAAATAAAAATTAAAAAAATAAAAAAAGCAATGAAGCAACCATACGTACACAGTCGTCTTTGAGCACTTATAAATTGTGTCACCTCTCCTTTTCACTGCTGTCAATATGACTTAAATTATGGTTTCTTGAGCCTTTGTAAAATTACACCAGTTTCAAGAAAAGGCACTCATCTTTTCACAAATAGAAATCATATTATCATAAATATCTTCATAGATGCACATGACAAACAGCAATCTAGGCAAACGTTCTTGCTACCTGCAGCTGATTTAACCTTCGTAACAGATATTTTGGCTTCTTTAATGCGGTTAATAAGTACCTTCACACAGTAGAAGAACAAATAGTGACACCTCCTCTGTGTTTCTTATAGAAATGTTTAAAACAGAATCTTGAGTTAATGAGAGACTATCTCTGCTTAATTCTGCCTTTCTCTGCCCTCGGCTCAGTCAACCATTAAGAGGGCAAAAAGCAGGGATAGTTCATTTGGTGTAGATTTTGTTAAAAGATAGGAACAGCTCAATTACCTTTAAAGATAAATTTGAGTTCTGATCATGCAATTGCACTGAAAGAAACTGTGTGGAAGCACTTTGAAAGGTTAATCATGTAGTACATAATACTGTGAGGTTTTAGAATCATCCAACTGATACGAAACTGGCACCGTTTATATAACTGTCACATGCACTGTACACAGAACTATGTATATGGGACCACACAAACATGTGACACAAAGGTTTGGTCTACAACCTTTGGTTGTTTCTTGTCATATTTCAATTATGAGGGTGTTTGAAGACCTATCCTTTTTCAGGGGACATTTTTTCTACATGTATGATACCCAACCAACATCTAACATAAATAGAATAAAAATCTCAAAAATTAACGTTCCACCACTCCCAGAACTCAACCTTCTCTTTAAATAGAACCAAGTAGAGATGCGAGTTAGTGGTTGTGAATCTAAGCATGAATCTAGTATTGCCCCAATCAGCTCATCATCAATATCTGCTCACTTAATCCCCAGGCAAGGACATATCCATATTCTAAAATCAAATTATCCGTCTTCAAGTCCATGCTGTAAGAAATCAATACGGGATGGAATGGCTGTTTTTTTTAGTTTTAAAGGAAAACATCAAGCATTGGGTTAATTTCAATTTTACTTCAAGAAAATTATACTGATTTATGTGGAACCATGATACTCTTTAGTATAACTTGCAGTGGGATGTTCAGCCTTTCCATACTAATTGCAATTTGTAACTGTTTTAATTAATTTGTAATTACTGTAAGTGAGGATTTAATAGAGAAGTCTGATACTTAATTATAAAATCAGTATTTGAAATTAATTTTAGCATCACAAGTGCATTAATAGAGGGGGGTGGGGAATGATTCTCTATATGATATTAACACTAGAATCATGTCGTTGATTTTTTTCTAAATGCAAGAGGTAAGATATTGAATTTACTCTCAAGGAAATATTAATTCATGAGAGGGGGGGGGGGGGGGGGGGGGGTGAATACTCGTGTAGTTTATCCAAAAACCCTGAACTTATCAAAGTGTTATGTTCTGCATTGTAAGTTGACTTTATAACTGATTTCTGACACTGGTAATACACTGTTTATATGCTATCCGACATTCTTGTAATGACATCTAAAACCTGAAACAGACATAATATTATGGGGTCTGAGTGGCCACAGGCTGTTACATGTACATACACCGTGGATTCCAGACAGACATTCTGTGAATACCTTCCATTCCAAAGACGTATCTTTATACAATAACTCCCTCATCACATATCAATATTAAAGGATAGAGTATGATGATGATGATGATGATAGAACAGGTGATAGAAGTATGGTTTGAAGGATGTAGAATGTTTAGCCAATTTGTATGGAATCAGACTGCAGTATAATATTTTGTTTAAGGAATGAGAGCATACAAATGCTTTGAGCTAATGTTCATGTCTTTCATTGGATCTTATTAGGTGCTGCGGTTTTAACAATTTTTATAAAAGGATTAGTTTGATAGTTAAAAAAACATTAAAAATAGATGTACATGTATATAGTGTATAGGAAAGAAAACACAACATGGATTTTTATTGAAATGAAATATTTTGATGAAAAACATCATTATAAAAAAATGAAATTCAGCTTAATAGAATAGATATTGTGGCATTATGTTAGCATTATAAACAGCAACAAAGAAAACAATAGTATTTGTACATGTATGTTGTAGGTAAAGGTAGCGGTAGCAGTAGAAAAAGTAGCAGAAGTAAGAATAGATACATGTAGAAGAAAAATTGTAGGACTTTCAATATTAGTATTAGATGAATATGACCTTGTAACATTTTTCATAGCTTATAAAACAGTTCCTTCAGAAAAAAAGAAGTATTATATTGAAAAACAAATACAAAAGAGTAAAATTCATAAAGTGCATATAGCCATTGCATAGCATGCTATTGCTGTGTACATAGGTAAGACACTCCCACTAAGAGCAAATGAGAATCATTTGACATTTTACTTTTTGACTGTCATGAACGCCAGTCTATTCAGACATCACTCATTCTAAACTGACAGGACACGATGCCACGCTCTGATTCCATCAAGTTCTTACCTCATCATATTTTGATCCCATCATCATCATCATCATGAGATGCCATGCATATCCAGGCGTTGTTGTCAATCATGATTTGCACGGATGATAACTGTATGATGGCCGGGTTACTCCAATCCGTGTCAAAGATGATTATGCGATGTATAGTTTATATAGTCACTACCCTCATACCTCCGTCACACTTCCAGACTGACTCCATGAGAGACCAAACGATTCTTGGCCATTGCGAGTACTGTCATTTTTGCAGAACTGCCAACCATTCTTATTTTTGAGGCATGATGCCTAGCTTTTGGCCTGCAAGCTATCGTAACGAAATCTAGATTCCCACCTCTTTCCGAAAACTGTAAAAAGTACACCAAAGAACACTGCATTCCAAATATTATAATGAGAGATTCCTGCATTTTACCGTGAAAGGTTGGAAGGTATGGGTCTGATGTCATTGTCATCAATGTACAACGTGACTGGGGTTTCACTCTCCACAATAGAAGTACAGTTTGGAAGGGTTTAAAGGGGATGATCAAGAAAAAGGTCCTCTGAATATGGGTGAAGTATAATGACGAGAGAATGCAGTGGCCCCATGTGATTTCCCTCTGCCATGTTTTTAATTTCCCCACTCTAGTCAATATCTTCTTCTCATGAAGTCAACAGGAAAAACTATGCATATTGTCACCATCTCGCTATATTGATACAACGATTCCATAATAACTGAAAATTATTTGTTATTAATAAATTTGCCCTGCATTTACGTTAAAATTCCATTTTCAGAAATTCATCTAAAAATAGCTGCCTTGCATTTATGTTAAAATTCAGAAAGTTGGGAGTGCATTGCTAATGACATTTAAGCATATTTCGCCTACATTGTATTGGAGAAGATTTTTCTTAAAATATCTGTGTAAGCTGTTTTATTAAAAAAAAAATTCTTTCACTGATATGTTAACTAACCAACACATATCTCTCTCTGATTCCTTGCTCTGTTTACATTCTAGCAGCGGACCTGCAGTGTAGGTTAAAATTGATTCTTTCTCATCATATCGCATGGTTTTGATTTTGAGTTTCTCATGAATGAAAACAAAAATGAAGAAGGAAAAAAAAGTATTGAATAAAGAGTGGGCAGTCAGTCCTTAAGTGTGTTGTGAGAATTGCTGTCAGCTTATTTCTTCATGAAACATTTTTTCAAAACATTATGTTGCTTCATAGAGATTTGAACATCCAGCAGATTATTGATAATGACATTGTTATTAAAACATTCCGCTCACTCTCGATACATACATATTATCAGCATACCAGGAATTCTTACTGGGTGAATAGGGTTATGTTCATTTAACTGCTTTGTTAAACCTTATCATGATATTGGTTTCTGGCAAAATACAGACCATGAATTGATTACATCACATTCTTGATTCAGCTACATTGATGGATATTTTCCAACAGTTAATTTCATAGCATCTACATTATTTTACATTAAAACATTTTCAGACTTATTTTGAAACTTACATTTTTACTAAACCATCCCTAATGTTTATCAGAGCTCAGTTTCTGACATCTGTAAATAATGTACGGTTTACTTTTTTGTGTGTACATTTTAAAAGATTCTGTTATTTAAAAAATAGCATTTTCACCAGTGCTTAATATCAAATGCCTATCAATACAGCAAACATGGTATTTTAAAACTGATATAAGAACCCCCCTATAAACAAACCAAAACCATGCATTCTTTTTGCTCATAATATTATGCTCATCACTAATTGAAACTACGCATTCAGATCACATCAAAAGAATTTACACTAAAATAAAAATTACTACTTTACTTCCTCGGACACTAATGTAACTAAATACTTCATCAATTATGCATGATAACTTGAAAGGAATTAGCAAATATGAGTTTTGAATATTTTTGAAAGTGTAATCACTAGCATTCATCATAATCACCCGTACAAATTGAAAGAATATTTCTTATTATTTCAATCTAATATCGTTGCTAAATATCATGAATATTACGAAGGTTTTATTTGGCTCATCCATTATTCTAATAGCAATTACACTATTTTTTTCCAGGCAGGTTTAAAAGTTTACCCTACCATCCCTTTTTTTTTGTTTTTTTTTTTGTTTGACATTTCATGACTAGTCATAATCAGCTATTAGTCAAGTCTAATTATCATTTTTGAAAGTACATTTATATTATGTCTTGTGATGAAGCAAAAGACCACAGAGCACAGCTTCTCTTCTGTTGCTGTCACTGCAAAGAGGCTTTGAGTTATAGATAATAGGCGTACTAACCTGTTATTGTCGCAAATTGATTTTAAAAATGTTGTGTTTGTACAGACTTAAACTATGATTTTATTTTCTTTGAGCAGTAAGAATAAAAAAAAAAAAGACCAAGTTTACCCCGATAATGTACCCCAGACCCATTCCCTTCCCCAATTTCATCCTCACCCATGCACCAAAGCCATCTTACACCCAAGAGTTTGGCCAACTTGGTTACCGTGGGTAGCAAGAAGTCAATATTCAACAATTTTTTAAACTCATGCTTGCCTGACAAAGCAATCGCTGCCTCATTGCTAACAGAGTTGGCCAGACTCTTTATAAAACTGGCTCAGCCCTGTACCTATGATGCCCATTTTATCACACCACTCCGATTCTACCACTCCTTCCCAATTCAACCACCCCAATCCACTCTACCACCTTGCTCCCACTCTACAACACCCCCTTGCATCCTACTATACTCTTCTTCTAAGTAAATGACATCTTTATGATGCTATTCTTTGGTGAAACCCTCTTGATCATACCATCATTTTTAATTCTCCGCTCATCTCTTCTGCTGCATGAAAGCACTTCATTATTAACTACTTCATAATATTATCATACGATAACTTTATATACCATCCTTCACACGCACACAATGTTTGCTCTAGTGTGGCAGTAGTTACTTCATGCCGGAGCTAATTTTCTATTCAAGTATGATTAAAAGCTTGATAAACGATGCGATCTTGTTTGTTTCAATGTGACATCAATAGCTTTCCATTACATAGTAATTAGTAGAGGCTAGAAGCTCTATCCTTATACACGCTATCACCAGCACAGTAATTTATTCACAATTAATTTTGTTTAACAAGAATTGAGCACTTTTAGGGTTTTGTTAGTGTCGGCTTTCACAAATTGTTAATATTAATTGCAATAACATCATCCTTTGCAGTTGTTTGAAATAGAATAGTACTTTATAAATTGAAGTTGATTTTGCAGTGAAGCTTTTGTTGTCAGTGAAATTTGCAATTGAAATGAAATTAATGTATATTGTTATAGATCTAGAGGGATGTTAAACAAATATAAACTGTCAATTCTACAGTGATATCATTTTGGTTGTATTAAAATTGTGATTAACAGAAAATCACTCAGGTTTCAGATGACATGTTTTTGAACTCTTCGTAGAAAGTGAATGGACAGGATACATGGAGGGAAAAAAGTTTAAATCATTCTAACCTGTCATTTTATTTTTCATTTTATATTCATCTGTAGCATTGCATGTACCCGTATGGGAAACTATGGACAACTATCATATTTATATGTACACCCTGTACATGGTGTTTCATGGATATTACTACATTAATACTATCATCGGTTTAATTTGGCATTATAACAAGTTGTGGACATGGATGTAATGAAGAAAAAAAATTGATTTTCTCTGGCAAAATAGACAAGTATGATTGATTTGTTTTAAAGATGAATTCATTGTGTAGTATACACACTAATCCTTGGCTTCGTGAGTTATTTCAAGTATAATTTTCTGAATTTTGTGTAGATATTTTGACAGAAACAGCATCCATGTCCTCACTTTATAATCATGTGTATATTAGCCTGATTTATAATCATATAGTGCTTTACTGACTGGGTAACCTAATACTACTTCATTGCTTTGCTTCATCCAACTTTTTACCCCTTCCCCATTTTGTACTCCCTCTCATCACTTCCAATCATCATTCATATCTATCTCTGTGTCATGATATTTCTCTTTATGTTGATCATGTTTTTCATCATTCTTTGTCTTCTTAACTTTCCACTAAACTTTCATCATTTTTGTCTCATGCTTATCCCTTTGCCTTGTTAACATCTTGTGCCTGTTTCCATTACTGTGTTGTCTTCTTTTTCTTCCTTCTTTCCCCTGCTACTCGCTGTTTTACCTTCATTTAATTTACATCTGCCTTTTTCCTGCCTCTGTCATTCTTTTTTGTTTTAATTTTAATGCTCTGTTCTTCTATACCTTTTCCCTCTCTCTTTCAATCTCTTCTATATGTATTAAAAACAAAATATTATCTTATCATAACATTTCTATCCACCTGTCTTAATCGTTCATCACCCTTCCCCTCATCTAATACTCACTATTTACCACTGCTTCTGCTGTTGCCACTTACCCTTTGCGAACTCTCTTCTCAATTCCATCCCTTCTTTCCATCTATCCAACCATCATCCATCAATCCCTCCATCCCTCATCTATCTATCACATATATATCCATCCTTATTCCTTATCTATTCCTAATCATTACCTCTCATGCTCTTCCATATTATACTCATCCTCTACCCCCCATTTCCATACCCACTACTAATACCCCTAAAAACTACTACCATCCCTCTATAACCACCCTTTCACTACCACTAACACACCCTCCTCTGTCCCTCCATCACCCTTCTACCCCTGCATCCACCCCTCTATAACCACCCCTCCACCATCCTAACACCCCTCCACTATCCTACCACCACCCCTCCACCACCCCTCCACCACCCGCCCACCACCCCTACTCCACCCTCCACCCCTACTCCACCCATCCACCTGTTGGGTGTGTGGCATGGACCCCTAACCAGGTTAAATGATTCTCCATCTTCCAGTGTACCTGATGACTTCAAGGTTAACCCTGGTGCAGTGGAGGCCATCGCCCAACATCCTAGTGACAAGGACAGGGTAAGTACCTCAACAGACATGTCGACTTTCAAAGTTACTGAGATATTAAAGGTAATACAAGATTTTGGTATGGGGTCATGAATTTGGTTCAAATGAACATAATGGAAGTATTTGGGATTTTGCAATAGTCAGTGATCGTTGACGCAGTTGAAATCGAGTCTGAATTGATGAAATTGTAAATAATAAACTTTATGTTGTATAATTCCCTCTCAAGACTGATATTACTTTGGCTTTAAAGCCATGTTTCTCGACTACGATCGACCGATTTGCTATTTCCGTTTGGAAATTATATATCAGAACTGCATATTCTGAGATTTTCATGGTCGCAGCTACCATGGAATGGCCTTAGGCACTATTTGAAATATTTGAAATTTATCTGGAGCACTGGTAAATATTTGAATTATTCAAACAGAAATGTTTTAGGGGCTACATTTTCTAGTGCTTATAATACATTCACAGGGGCATCCAAATATATCAACATTTTAAAGAATTACTATCCATCCAATTTTCAAAATTTCCCAAAACTTTGCATTACCGGTACCTTTAAGGTAGAATTATTGTAACATTTTGGATAGGTTCTGCAGCACTTGGGTGAATGAATACTTTGACGATTTGTATACATGTACATGGACCTTCATTAAAGTCATTGTTGACTTCTGGACAGAGTTTGAAAATTCATCTCGAAAAAAATATCTTCCTGTCTCTAATAAAAGGTACTGTCATTACTGAAATATGATATTTCCAAATTTGATGTTGTCTGGCGATCAAATTTATAATTATTTATAAGGTGGAATCATTTTGTTGGGCCTTTTATATGGTTTTTCCCTTAAACTCATCTATCTTTTCAGTTAGTAGCAAGTTACTTGCTCAATCATTAACATGGGAGTATTCAAATATTAATGATCTAATTCCTGTAGCATTTCTCGATTTTCCTACCTCGGTCAAGCCTCAAAGCCATATCAATTTTTACTGAACTAATTCCTGATAAATCCTTGCCTTTGACCATTTTTGATAAACAGCTCTTGATCGGTTACAATCGAGGACTCATGATCATCTGGCGCCAGAGTGAGCTGATGCTTGAAGCTTCGTTCGTTGGTCATCAGATCGAGTCCCTCTGCTGGCATCGGGATGGAACCCACTTCACCAGCTCTCACAACGACGGCAGCTACCAGGTGTGGAAGGTCTCAGGAGCATCCTCACCGGCCAAGGAACCTCTGGTGCCATACGGTAAGAACCACTGGTCTTGAACAGTGAGAACCGCGCCCCTCTATCATTCCCCCTTTGTCCTTCTCTGTAGTCCTGTAGAACATGTTCTTACTTATTGAATGATTCTGTTAGGTGTTATGAAAGTCTGGCTGTTATTGCTACAAAACTGAACTTCTTGTAGGAATGTCCACTCCAGAAGGGAACAAACCAGTCAGTGCTGTAAAAAACACTATTTGCAAAGATCTGATACTGCTACAAGACTCTCCAAAGTTACAACCCTTTTAGAATCCCTTAGTTTCTAATAGATACTTCTCCCTATGGAAACCACACCCTCTTTTAGATCCGCTAGTCTTCCCACTCTTTGCCGGAATAGACCCTTTCCCAATAAGTGGCAAAGAAATATCCACTTGTCAATGCATTAATTTTTAAGGCCCTTATTATTCAGTGCACGTTTGGTTTGGATTACTATGAACGAATGTCAAAGCCTGGAAACGTGTAAGAGATAGCAACCAGCAATGTCTAGACTGGTTATGAAAATTTGAATTCAAGGTTGCTCTCTTTACATTGCATGCAGCACTCTGAAATTGATCCGGGATGTAATATTGATACTACGAAAGGTGATCACTAGCCCTGTCCTCATCAGCTCCAGTTTGCCCCCCAAACCGCTATTTTCAGATTCTGGATATTATCCCGAAGTTCGAAATTGTGTCTTCACCAGACCGATATGTTCATTACAAAATAGCGGGGTATTTGAGAAACAAGACCAAGATTTCTCTGGATATTTTTTTTTGTAACTGGCTAATTTGTGATCAGGATAGTTAAAATAGCGGGTTATTTGGCAAACTCGAGCCGATGAGGACAGGCCTACTGTGAAGTTGAATCTCTTTCCCTGTGAGGTGGGGGAATCTTGATTAGTTTTGAAGAATGGCCTCCATGAGGCAGAGCACACAGCATCTGTTATTGTAATGAAACATGATGTATACATATTTCAGAATATGATATGCGTACAAGGTGCATTAATAGCACACCTGCATCCATAAATCATTACAATGGTACATACCGTGTACTGGTGAAGGCGGATGAATTGTTTTCCCTTATAGGTGCTATGAGAAGGGATTAATTCTAGCTGAAAACCATGGACACAACTCGCTCCCCCATTGAGAGATATATTTAGAATTGATTAATGGAAAGAATTTTATGACCCTGGCCCTAGGTCTCTGTGATTAATTGAAATGGATGGGTAGCTTCCCAATTCCATATCTCAATGGATATATTTTAGATCTATGAAACTTGTGAAGGTCGCTGTATTGTTTATCAAGGTGGTTGTACTTGCACATGCACCCTACGGTATTTGTATTTCAATTTGTAATGGTAATTGTAAACTAAGATATACATGCGTGTAGATGTGAACAATACAGAAAACAAAAGAGGAGAAAGCTATATGGTTGAAGTAGATAGATAGAGAGAGAGAGAGAGGGGGAGAGAGAGAGAGAGAGAGGGGGAGAGAGAGAGGGGGAGAGAGAGGGGGAAAACGAGGGGGGGGGGGTGGGTGAGGAGAGAGGGCAAGAGAAGGGAAAGAAAAGAGATGGACAAAGAATAGAGAGAGGAGCGATATTTAGTTAAAAGAAAAGAGGTACACTGTAAAGGAGATATGGACAGAGTCAAATAGAAGGAAAGATAGAGAGAACAATAGAGGATGAAAATTAAAAAAGATGATATATGGGGAGAACACTGTTCATTGAAAATCTAATTTTTTCATAATTTTTTTTTTTCATTAAAAATAATATTTGTGTATATTTGTTTGTCTTTTAGGACCATTCCCTTGCAAAGCCATTCCAAAGATCCTCTACTTGACGACCAAAAGGTGAGTTATAAGACAATCTATCATGAGCATTAAAATTAAAATAATCAATGTTTCTTTGTGATTTGATTGTCCCCATTCTATGGAGTTGGCTATACAGTAAATCATATATAAGATAGATACATGTACATGAATATACAGTATATACTTGTTCAAATCTTGTGAATTCTGAGTAATTTGGTCTCGGGGTTTACCTTACCATGTACATGTATGTGCTTGTGGAATTGATTTGTGAATTCATGTACTTGTATGATAGAAATTCAAAACTAGTGATATCATGTGTGATAGAGTAATGTATTCACATCTTTGAGGCCTCTCGAAATCCATCTCAAAGAATGAATGAGATGGTTCATATGGGAACCATTTAATGTAATAGGATGATGAGTCTAATCCATTGATCCGACAAATCATCCATTGAAAGCCAGGAGGGCACTAACCCACATCACACAGAATCCATTTCACATGCCTATTGGGTATTTGAAAATGCAAATTGAGGGGATCTTAATTCAGGTGAGAGGCTATGGAGGTACATCGCTACCCCTTTCTTGTACCCCTCCACCCCTCTGGGTCCAGGTGCATGTCGGTGTTAGGCTCCAATGTGACGTTACCCTTGGGGCTAGTCAAGTTGACGAGGGGGATCATCTCTCAAAGAAGGATGGACTGCTATCCATGTATATAGATGTGTTATCAGAGATACCTCATGGATGCATGAGTTTAATGTTAATATAAGGACAAATCATCATCATTTAATCTTCTTGGGTTCAACGCAGTTTTGATTATGTTGTAATTTCACTCAATAAATTGTTTAATAGAAATGTAATATAGCAAGAACTTTATGATACAGTATGTATTAGCTGTTATTTTCACAAGCATTTTGTTTATGCAATTGTTTAATAGAAATGTAATATAGCAAGAACTTTATGATACAGTATGTATTAGCTCCATTTTGTGAATCATGGTAGGGCTGCAAATTTTTCAACATACAAAAGTGGGCGAGCAATGCATGTGTTAACATGTACGTATCCTGTGTGAATTTTTGCAATAGCAGCAACTTGCAAAAATGTCTGGACCCTGTCATTTGCAAACAATATATTTACGCAGTAATAAGTCACTTCAGAAACATATTTTGTTTTAACAAAATAAAATAATTAAAAAAAAAAAATAATAATAATAATAATAATCTATAAAAAAAAATCCAAAAAATCCAAAAAAAAAAATCGTAATTTTGCCGTCATTATTTTCAATATATATTTTTTTCACAGTGAGCCGTTCACCATCTTCTCCGGTGGTATGCCAAGAGCCAGCTATGGTGACCGCCATGTCGTCACAGTGATACAGGACAAGACACAGCACGTCGTCTTTGACTTCACATCCAAGGTCATTGACTTCTTCACCATGTCAAATGTGAACGATGAAGACGGTAAGATGGTCCTTCCGTTTCTATGACGCATGCTCTGGTGATAATTGCCCCATGGTCTATTTTCTACATGTACACTGACCTAATTCCTAGTGTTGACCCCGGACCAACAACCCTAACTCTACATCTAATATAAAATCAAATCGAACTATAACTGATAACTTAACCCCAAATGCAATCTAAAACCCAATCTATATCCCAACCCTATTCCTAACCTTATACCCAATTGCAGTTCTAATTAGTTTGAAGATAGTGTTTGTACAATGTAATGGCTGTCGGTTTCATTTTGCACTGCTTACTGTTTAGTCTATTTTTACATTGCCTCTAGATCTCTTGACTTAAAAAAATATGTATATATAAATATAAATGTATATATACAATACATATGTAAGATTGTTGATGCTGCCAAGCATTCTTAGAAATCTATTGGCAATAACAAGAAAACCAATGTAAACCTGATTAACATCTCCATGACATGTATATGTCAACATGGATGTTGTATCAAATGTCATTTGATGAGTCAAATTTCATTTGATGAGTCAAATTTCAAGTAGTCATGCCCACAGTGTGTTAATTATTTTCTGTTTTCTTTCCGCAAACAGAATTTGATGAGCCACACAGTCTGGTTGTCCTGGTAGAGGAAGAGATTGTTTTCATTGATCTCCAGACCAAGGGGTAAGTGAATCCAATCTGAGTTGAAGTTGAACTTTACTTATATAGGTTTTTTTTTTCATATTCATTCTATGTTGAAGGAAATAACAGTAGGAATGTCACATGGAAAGGATAGCTCTTAAAATATCCTAACAATCCAGTTATAACTAGATAGAAAGAAATGACAAATTTTATCATTTTTTGGGGCCACACACGTGTATACTATAGTCCTATGTACCCAACTTTATGCATGAGTATGTATGTACCATCTCTTGAGAGGTATTGTACGTGATATGCAGCTGCTGTTACTATGTTTACCCCCTCGACATTTTTCGCGATAATTTTTTAAGCAAGAAAATCTTGCACTAAAATTTTGTGACTTTTTTTCTTTCAAGTCTTGCGCAACGTTTGAAAGAAATTTTTCGAAAATCGGACCTACCATTACAAAGGCACGTGTCCTTTTGTCTTCGAATGTCAGCCCGAAAATCGCTCATTTTTGTGATTTGTGTACAAAACATATGGAAATCTCATTTTTCAAATAAAGAGGTAAAACATTGGTTATTTGGTCTTGTTTGGATTTTAGGTGTTTATTTTGGGTCAAAATAGTTGAATTATAGTTGGAAATGAAATAAAAACAACAAAAACAATAAAATACATAAGTTAAAAAAACAAAGAAATACATAAGAAATTATCAAAACAATAGATAACATAAGGAATAACCCTGGTTTTTCAAATTTTTGTGTTGTATTATTATTCCAAATGGTCTAACAAATATATGTATTTGCATAAATTACCATAAATATGCAAATGAGTAAATTTTTCAAAAAAATTGAAAATACCATAGTATTCTATACACTTCACTTGACATGTATGCAAATTTTCGCGGCGATCGGGCGTTTCACGGCCGAGATCATAGGGGGGGGGGGGGGGGGGGGGGGGGGGGGGGGGGGCCTTAGAAGATAAGTTAAAAAAACAAAGAAATACATAAGAAATTATCAAAACAATAGATAACATAAGGAATAACCCTGGTTTTTCAAATTTTTGTGTTGTATTATTATTCCAAATGGTCTAACAAATATATGTAGTGAGAAAGAATGCTTAAATATGAATAATGTCTGATTTATGGGCAAAAAATGTGAATTTAATGACCTTATTTGCATAAATTACCATAAATATGCAAATGAGTAAATTTTTCAAAAAAATTGAAAATACCATAGTATTCTATACACTTCACTTGACATGTATGCAAATTTTCGCGGCGATCGGGCGTTTCACGGCCGAGATCATAGGGGGGGGGGGGGGGGGGGGGGGGGGGGGGGCCTTAGAAGCCCCCCCCCCCCCCCCCCCCCCCCGGGCTATGCAGTTTTCAAAATAGCCCAGGCTAAATAGGGTTAAGATGTGAGAAGATGTTCTAAAATCAACTTAGATTTTGAGTTAGCATTATGACCAAGTCCTGGAAGAAAAGACAAGAGAAGGAAAGCAAAACATTAACAAAATATTTCATAAGTATGCAGAACTTAATTGTTGCTAATAGTTTAACCAACATTACAATTAATCAATGTTTCTGCCTCTTTTCCCCTATATAAGGCAATATCCAAGATTTATAATGGGAATACAATCCGAATCATAATGACATGTACCCTCCTAGACCAATCATCTCACAGATGTAGCTTCTTTCCCCTCTCTTGCTTGGTGTAGATGGCCGACTTTCCAGCTGCCTTACCTGTCCTCCCTGCATGCCTCGGCCATCACCTCCTCCAACTACATCTGCAACGTTCCATCTCAGCTCTGGGAGAAGATCCAGGAGGTTGGAGAACATCAGCAACAGAACGTAATGTCAACAAGGGTATGTCCCTCATCTAATTGTTTATTTTTTATTGTAAATAATTTCTTTATTGAAAAGTGTAACATTAGAAAGCATGTAAATTTATTGAACAAAATTAAGCCCAGGGCCCTGTTTCACAAAAGTTGTTATCCGTGACAAATGACATTTTTGTTATAAGCTACTGAAATCCATGCTTCTGATTGGTTATAAGCAGATTTGTCACTGATTTGTGTCATTTGTCATTGAAAAAAGGCTTTGTGAAACGGGTCTCTGGTATGCACAGCCTAATGCAAGGCAGGAAATAAGAAATCTTGATTAACATACAATGGAAAAATATACAACAAATATGTTATATGGAAGCACTAAGTAAGCTTTGGCACGTGCGTCATTATTATAAGTAAGACTTCATTCTATGAACGCTGTTCTGTTTGCCTCCTCTGTAGGATTTCCCTGTAATCGGTGGCAAGAACCTGGTGGAGCCACCCGCCTACCACGACCTCCTCCTGACCGGTCACGAGGACGGTTCTATCCGCTTCTGGGATGCCTCTGCCTCTGCCATGAAGTACCTCTACCAGGTCAATGTGGCTCAGCTCTTCACCGCCGAAGGAGGGGAGCAGAACGGTTCTCCAGGAGTCGTCGAGGCTGAGGAAGAATGGCCGCCATTCCGTAAGGTAGGTGTCTCCACGGTCATTGATGAACTGTCGTCGTATTGATACACAGTCCTCGGCATGAAGAGGAAGATCAAAAAGCAGTCCGAAAGAGTTTTAAAAGTTTTATTTACATTTATAGATACGATAGGATAAGTAACCAAGTCAATAACTGGATTCGTGAATAAGGTTTAAAAAAGTTGGCATATAACATCAGTAAACTAAATACTTCTCAGTGATACCCATGAAGGTGGAGTTTACCTGTTGATTGTGACAATGGTTTGCCTATATTTACAGTTAGATCCATTGTTGTTTGGTGGTAACACAAAAGATTTTTGACCTTTTGAGTTCTCCTAGATTTCCAATGGTTAACTTTAACGTGATGACTTCTAATGATTTGACTTTTAATATGCACTCAATTCAGATCTTTGTTTTGAAACAGATGGTATATTAACTAGCTTGAAACAAACAGAAGCAAATAATACTTTGACCTTTGACATTTCCCTTTGACACAGGTGGGTAACTTTGACCCTTTCAGCGATGACCCTCGTTTCGGTGTCCAGAAGGTGGTGCTCTGCCCCCAGAGCGGCACGTTGGTGGCCGGAGGAACCGCTGGCCAGGTGGTGGTCATGAAGATGGGCGAGGACGAGGAGGAGAAGAAGACTATAGAGGTGAGATGATTAGTCTATTCTTAAAGGGATAGGGTATCTTTGTCTCACATTCTGAAACAAAATCCTGGATTTAGCTCATGCTGCAATGATAATTATAAACCTTTATGTCAGTCAGGAACCCCATGGTATTTACAAGCCGATCACCTGTCTGATTATCAAGATATTTATGATTGGAAATCAAAACCAAATTTTGCGTTTTCCTAACGGTTTTCATAACCCTACAGTCTATTGGGAAAACAAGTATGGTAAAACCGGTCACTCAAAGATTTTCACTTTTTTGAGGCACTTCACGATCATTTTGAAGCGCAATTTTTTTAGGGCTTTAATATTACACCATATCACAGACACTGATAACACGTAGAGCCGTGCATCTCAGATTTAACATTGTTAAACGATGCCTTTAATTGTAGTTTAGCCCTCATGGTGTCACTACAATCACCCATCACCATTGGTATTTTGTGAGAAGAGTTTCCAGTCACAGAGGCTGTTTTATTTTGTAGTTTTATGCAAATTATTTCAATGTATCACACCTCAATTCCTCAACCCATGAGAATTTTAAGAAGAAAGAAAAGTTTCCGTTATCTGTGATACTACATAAGATTTAAAAAAAGTGTGGATGATGGAAGCTGACTACAATGCGTGAAGAGTTAAGCGGGATTATGTTTGAATTTATCTTCCAATTCATCAGAGATTGTACAACGTGATAAAAAGCCTATAACACTAATATTTCGTGATGGATGTGACATTCCTCAGTTTTAGTTGTGAGATTATTATGGAAAAAGATGTACTTGTACCATTGTTCCAAATCCAACATCAATGTCTCCTATGTTTAGTGCATGTAGTTTTCATCATGAAGCAATTCATATTATATCTCTCAGGTTGTCCAAGCCAAGATCGTTGTCGACGACAAGTTCGTATGGAAGGGTCATGAGGCCCTGCCTGTCCGAGAGGAGCCCTTCAAATTCCCTCGGGGTTTCCAAGTGGAGCTCGTGGCCCAGGCCCACCCTCCGGCAGCCATCACAGCTCTGGCCTTCCAGTCAACCTGGGGCATTATAGCCTTCGGAACCAGCCACGGTTTCTCCCTCATTGACACCACGCTCAAGCGCCTTATCGTTTCCCACTGTACCCTTAACCCCCATGACCTCTCGGTGACCGGGGAGCACATGTCACGGCGGATGTCGCTGACCAAGTCACTGAGGGCGTCGCTGCGTCGTGTCAGGCAGAAGAGGGGGACGACCAAGCCGCGCAAACAGAGGGAGAGGCGATCTAACGATACCGGTGGGAAAGTGATTGAGGGTAGCGATAATACACCTACAACACCGGAGAAGGTGGGTTACAGAAGGAGAATTTCAGAATAAGCGTTTATTTATTTTTGATGCAAACAACCCTTCCCGTCATCGAGCTCATATTTGAAATGGTCTCTTTAAATTTCTTGGCAAAAAGTTCATCAAAGTAGGACTTATTGTTCTGGAGACACATGGCATTCTGTATACATCATGTACATTAACTACTTTTTGTGTCCATTTTGTGTACATAATAAAGGGCCTGTCATTGAAAACTAACGATTTAAACAGTGAATGAAAATTAAAAACTAATATTGAGTTACACCATAATATCTGTTATAAACTTTGGGAAGGTGAATTGTGCTATTATAATCAAAAGTCTTGGGATTGGAATGAACTAGAAGTTGATGAACTGTGGATGATGATGAAATTTGACATGAGAAGAAGATCTGAGACATATCACTGAGACCATGATATCATTACAATTCTGTTTTTCTCTTTCTGAAACCAATAGGAGAGCAGAGGGAGAGGATTTGATGATGCCGATCTGGTTCCCATTGAGAGGAAGATTGAGGCTCGATCAGAAGACCCTAAAGTCAGTATGGTCCGCTATGTCTACTTCGCTAACACGTTTGTTAGGGACGGTAAGTATTTTCCTCTGTTACCCACTGCAGATGAATCCTTTTGAGATATCATACTGCATATTTTGCAGCATATTGCATTTTACCTTTTGATACAGGTTGTAAAATATTGTGATTCATTTAAATGGAATTTGTTGATGTTTTCCAATATTACTAAGGTGCTAAAACATTCGAGGAATTTCTTCCTACCAGGTACCCATTAGCTTCACCTGGGTGGAGAGTGGCAAACGTAGATAAATTTCTTGCCAAAGGTCATTATTGCAGCGACCCGAAAGACCATTAGACCAAGACATCTCTACTTATCACATTACTATTCCTTTTCTCCCATCCAGCTCACACAGCTACACCGTCGCTGTGGGTTGGTACAAACGCCGGTGTCATCTACATCTACTCGCTGGGTGTACCTACAGGAGAGAACAGACTACAGGGCAATGTGGTGGCAGAAATCAGTAAGTACTAGCAACCTTTCTTTCTTTCATTCATACCCCAGTGGGTCATAGTAGGAGCGTCCACGTGCAGTCCTTGTCAGCTTCTTCCAAGAGCCTGCAAATCCTGCATACACTCAATTTTCACTGATAGACCTGTCAGAGGCCAAGAGCATGGCTCTTTCATTTGTTAGACAATGGGAAATTGTAGTGTGATGACCCCTAAATGATAGTATATGTTCCAAAAGGCTGTTCAGTTTGAGGTTGGAAAATGATAGGATTCTTCCTTTAAGCATGCCATTTACTTAACACTGACAGTTATATTCTGTGCATAGAGCCACAATTGCATTAAATTTTATTTTTTGAGAGAGGGTCTTTATATGGAGTTAATGCTCTTCTCTCTCTCTCTCTCTAATGACATACAGTTCTCCCTATGGAACTGCTGTAGAATCTGTCTACCCCCCCCCCCCCAAGCAAACAAAATCTTTAGAGGTTGATCTTACTGCTTCTCCTTGTTTACATTTTCTGGAAATGCCAAATGTTTTCAGAGGTCACTTTATTATTTCTTAAACGTAAAGACCAGTTATGGTCATGCGATTGCATTGTGAAAGAAACGTTGTGGAATCGATCAGAAAAGGTTGATCATCTAACATCTAGCATATGCAAGGTTCTGGAATCATCAAAATGATAAGAAATTGGGCCCATTCTTCGTAAAGTTACAAGCACTATACACAGAAAGATGTATATGGGACTACCCTATATCTCTCACAGACCGTGAGAGAAACAAATTTACCAAATATATGAATTAGTAGGCGGTTTCCCGGCAAATTTTTTATCATCATTTATTAGTCAAAACATATTCTTTCACATGATTGGTAATGAGAGCTTCCATTTCATTTTTTGAAATTGGGGCATTTCCAATACTGGTCTTTACCTTTAATGTTGGCAGGTTGAAATATTTTACTGTATCGTTACCTAATAACAGAAGATGTTTGTTGTTGAACCTGTCTAGAAAGATCACATCGATGTTGGCGGACTTGGCTTCTTTCCCTTGGATGGTCTTTATCGACAGGTCTTTACAGACAGGTTGTCACAGGAAATTTTATTGCAGCTCTGTATTCTATGCCCCTAAGAAATCTCTTTCATGTTCCTTTCCTTTGTTTTCTTACAGGCAAGGAGATTAAGTTGAAACATGGTGCCCCTATCAACTCTATGGTTGTAGTAGACAGTGACAACAACCCCCTACCAGACCCCATAGAGGTTCAGCACGAGTGTGCCAAGCCTCCCAACATGAGCGGACACAACCTCATCGTATGCTCTGAAGAACAGTTCAAGGTAGGTCATGCAATTTTTTTAAAGCCCCCCACTTCACTACTTATAGCTACTTGCGCTCTCTATATAGCAAACAGTGCCTAAGTGGTGACCATTGGTCCCCCATGATCCCCTTTTTCTTATGTTAATTGAGAGCTGAGTTGATGAGATAGCCACCTGTCAATGGCCATGCAGGGAGGTCTAATTTCTCCTGGCCAAACTAGTGCAGAGGGGCTTTAACTCCCCCCCCCCCCCCCCCATTTCTCTCTCTAATACCACATTTACAAGTAGTCCTCTAAGAGGTCATCTGAGATACTACTCTGGAAGAATGACGTGGTAATACTCCCTTTTTATCGCTGTAAAAACATGGGGTAAAGTGCCAGGCTGCTTGTAAGATAATAGACGAAAGGAGTGAACTTCATTACACAACAGAAATGTAGAATTTGTAAACAAATGCTATGTAAACAAACAAACAGAACTTTCAACTGATCTACATGTATAATCCATGGCCCTGTCTTACATAGAGTCGATATCAATCGCAACTTATTTGCGGTTGATATAAATCGCAACCATTTACATGAAAGATAAGAGACTGCAAACTTGCAATCTATTGGAGGCAGGGCCCTGATATCATCTGTTAACTGTGATTATGTCATTTCTCTGTTTCAACTTCTTGTAGGTCTTTGCTCTACCAAGCCTGAAGCCCAGATACAAGACCAAGCTGACGGCCATGGATGGATCCAAAGTACGCAAGGTGGCCTTCATCAACTATCGCAGTAGGAATAGTGAGTCATCTCCTATCTCTCGATGTCTTTATCGTTTATTTAACTGCAACATCTTTTCACCACTGTACAAACTGTGGAGTATGTAATATGTACAAGTTCACTAACATTCCATCGACATGCATGTCCATGTATGAATATTAAAATGCATCCCAACGAGATATCGGCTAATACATATGTAGCATGCTTATTTACATGTTTACTCTTGAACTTGTTTTATTTCTCCAGACGATTCATATTCCGAGAATCACATCAGCTGCCTGACCAACCAAGGAGAGTTGGGTATCTACAGCATCCCTCATCTCAAGAGGCAAGATCACTACCAGGCGCTCAGGAGGGAGAACGTCACCGGGATCGCATCGCTTCTCTTCACCCCAAGGGGCGAAGGCATGTACCTCCTGTCACCATCCGAATTTGAAAGGTAAATCAAGAGTGTCATCTGTTTCAATAAAATCTGATTTAAAATCATTGTACATATGCTCTGCAGAAACATTTGTAAAAGAGGGTTAGGGTTGAGTTAGGGTTTTAATCACCTTTTGGTCTTTGGCTACATGCAGGATTGGCTTTCGGGTTAGGGTCAGTAATGGTGTTGGGTCTAAGGTAAAGTTGATAATTTCACTAGTGTATAAATTTGACTACAAGGCATTTGTTGCCTGAGCATGTGTTGGAAATTGTCTGTGCTTCTGTCAATTTTGTTGTGGATCTAAAATACACATCAACTTTGTCTGATTTCATGCTACTACCATATTGGTGTATTGCATTCTTAATATCACTACTTCCACAGTTTTCCATCATTATTCTCAAAGACAACTACCATTAGCAGTACTCATGTGCAGCAGAATAGTCAATAGTAAGCCGATACTTACAAGCAGCATCTAGTCAATAGTGGTCAATGAATATTCATAAATATCCAGGCACAACTTTTCATCATGTATATTTATTCGTCTTCTAGGTTTACCATGTCAGCGAGCACGGTAACCGAGCCCCTGTGCATGCTTGAGCTAGCAGAGGGCATGCGCCCCGTACCCCCAGAACCTGAGGTGGAGCCGGAGCCTGAGCCAGCAGCTGAAGCAACGGAGGAAGGAGCCGGCGGTGATGCTGATGCTGCTGCTGCTGCTGCTGGAGCTGAGGTTGCCCAAGAGGCCAAGCCTGATGCAGAGGAACAAGAGCCTGGAGAGAAGGATGCCATGCGTGAGTAGAATCGTATATACCTCTCTTCAGGGTTTGGTTGCATTGCAGTTGCCACTGAACACATTTTGCAGTGGAACGCACCAGTCACCCTCGGTGTTTACACATATATGTTGAAAGGTAGCACATAATTGGCTAAAATGATGGGATAATTTTTCACTTTATCATCAATTATAATCAGTACTGTCATGTTCATACCTCACTGAAATTCCAATATTTCATAGTTAGAACGTTTCGTCTATGCAGAGTCAGAAGGGCGATAACTACGCGTTAAATAGCCCGTGTTAACGCACTTTGGGCTCTGAGCGGACGGTTTGTGATATGTATGTTAGGACTTGGCTCATGCTCATGTATTCATTGCAAGGTGATCATTTGAATACAATTACAGGAAGGGTTTTCTTCAACTATCAAGCTTTTGATTAGTTGACAGGTTATTGCAACAGTTTGATCTTGGGTAAATTAAAATCGGTTGAAGAAGAGCTTGTTTTCACCGTTAATTCATTCTTAAAATCATTAAAAAAATTCCTGCATTATCTGTCCATTGTATATCTTGGTTTTCAAGAGAAAAAAGTCATTGGTAAACTTATATATCCATGTAGAATCATGACCAGTTATATCAACTCATCAAATTTCTTTCTAAGATGTAGCAGCTCCCATTCAAACTGCCTTTATAGTTTGACCTGTTTGCCATGCTTTCTAAATATATCTATATACATTGTCTTCTGAGAGTTATTAGAAAACAATAATTCATTGTAAATAAAGCATTTTATATCTCTAGTTACAAAATGTAGTAAGCAACCATAACGAAATCTCTATTTCCAAATTCATGTAGAAATAAAACCGAAATATATACATATGTTGTACATAGAAAGCTTACTTGATAGATAGGGTAGATAGAAAAATGAGGTTTCATAAGCTACTCATGCTATTCTACATACATTTAGTGCCATGTCAAACTGAAAGACATTCTATGCCCATATATATATATATATATATATATATATGCGTAACCCTATCTGTTAGACGGGCTTCATCTGTAGATGAAAAAGAATCATATAGTTCGCCTTCTGTACCACCACTCCTCATCTCCTCCCCCTACCCCCTCCATGACCCGGTAGTACCCTCAGAAGACCCTCCAGCAGCTACTCTTCAGAACGGCCCTAGCGAGGAGGCCGAAGCGGAGGCGCCCACGGCAGGAGGGGATGCCGAGACGGCCGCGGCCATACAGCAGGAAGTGGATAATCAGACCGCCGACGGTGAGTGCCCCCCTCCCACCATCTCCAAGACATAGCTGTGTTTACAATGTGCCATGAGTTGCATTAGATTTCATAAACAGTATCATCATTTGACTACCTCCCCCCCCCCCCCCCCCTACTTCATGTAGTACAGTAATTATATAAGATGTGTTATCTCTGCCAAAGCATTAATGTGTCTGTATTTAGAGGAATAGATTGATTAGATAAAATTGGCGGTTGAGCATCAGAAGGGCATTACCTCTGTGTTGAAAGCTATGAGGGAATGCCCTTCTAGCTCTGAAGGGACAAAATAATGACAAGTCCAAAACTCTGATGCAAAATATGTGACAAATGAAATCTTAAACATGAAAAGCAATTGGAGACAGTTGTAGATATATGAATTCTACAGCATGTAAGCAAAAGTTGCCTCATGATTTAAAAAGAACAGATAGTTTGGAACAGAATACTCCTTGATTCAAAAATCCATATGTGATGATAATTCTGATCACCTCTACAACCCCCCCCCCCCCCTCCCCAAAACAAAAACAATAACAAAGAAAATCAGACCCAGAATATTTTATTTTGGGATGTTTATTGAGGCAGAATCTGATGTTGCTGATGGCATATTGTAAACACACCGAATAGATTCATTCTAAGTATGTAGTTTAATCAGGCATTAGAGTCCATAACAACATACTCCTGTCTTAATGTACATTTCTGTTCATATCTTTGCCAATCCTAATAATAAGGATTACAAAATAAATCTTACCTTAAAATCCATGTAAGAAACCATTTAACTATGAAAATGGCCCACTCCTTAGAGTACTTACTGCCATCAAGGTTATTTATTGAATATATGTTTTTGATATAAAAAAAAAAAAAGGCAGTTTAGGAGGCTTTGGTCTTATGAGTGAAGCATTTTTGTGATAACCCATTTCTTGAAAGTACTTGAGACCAAGAATATATGACAGATTTATGTTATGTCCAAAAATGGTAGTTTCTAAATTTGGTATGATGGCTCTATTGATGGCTCTTGTAGATTATTTCTTACATAGATTTGATGTTGTGTCAGATGAACATATCTGCCTCCTTTCTTGCCTGTTGCCTTCTCGTGTTTAGGATATAAATCTGAGCACTTTCCATGTGCATCTTGAGTTTGCTGTTTCCTTTGAACAGCCAACATATTTTTGAAGTTGTGAGGAAAGAAAAAGAACAAGATTTTGCACTCAAATATATGTTTATGTTTGAATTCATTAAACATACATGGTGAATTAGTAAAAGCATGGAAGAAGAAAAAAATATCAAAATGAATTGAATTGTGTCAGTATGAATGCCAAATCCCCCTTCGTATGATTTTGATCATGTTAATGAGAGCTCTTGCCCCCAATGTTATGAAATAACACAACTCCTCAAAGAACCTCTACACTTTCTGTACTTCTAAATATTCCTGGCATGCAAAGTATGCACTTTCAGAAAACAAATGCAAAGCAGTAATGCTGCAGGATTTCAAAATATTTTACTGTTAATAATTCTAAGTGCACTGAATGCCGCAATTGCAACATCACCTTTTCTGGTTAGATGCCTCTTCAAATGTCATTTTGCTCTTTGACCCATATTGCTCTTTGACCCATATTGGACTGCATTATTCTTTGCTTAGATTGGTTTTTATTAGTTTTATAACCATTCTTATTTTAGAGAAAGTCAAAGGCATGTCTAAAAACCACTATTTTGAACATTTGTAGTCAGGTTAATGATTATTTAAACAAATAGCCACATTACAGCAGGACTAGCAATTATACGTATTAACATACATGTAATTGAGAAACTAAAGAGATTTAATATATATAGAGTTAGACACAGAATCTGTGTAGTGACTTTGATAGTTAATACCTGTGCATCATTTTGGTGTACACTTTTTGATCAAAAACTTTTTTTTTCCTTCTTAGTTTATTTTCTTTAAAAAAAAAACATAAAGTAGGAGAATATTTTTTTTAAAATGAAATTCTATGCCATTTTAAACTATCTTTACATAGCTTTACATATTAGGTTTAAAATGGTTAATATATGGAATAAAGTCTATTAATAAACATAGCAGCTCAGTTAGAAACATGTGGATAGAGGGGTGTTTTGATTTTAATAGTTTCTTGTATCTCTAGTTCTCGTTAGAATAAAGACTTACTTGCTGTTCCTTCTTTTATTTCCCCTTTTCTCTGCACAATTAAAAAAAAAAAATCTACCTATGCTTTGGGGTTCTTGCAACTGCTCTGCGCTATGATTTACACTTTGGTTTTGAATTTCATCTTTGGTTTCGAATTTCATCATTGCATTTTATTTCCAACATTACTGCAATTCATTGCTCAATTTTGGTCTTGAACGGTTTTGTTGTGTATTATATTATTTTGACTATTCAATTAATCATAAAACAATACTCATTCTTCACACAATCATTGCAATCATATACACTCATATTGGGCATTTATTCTTATTCATTATATTATGTTTGTGTATATTTTCATACACCTTCATTGTCATGTTTTATTTCTTTTATTTTATCTGGCTATTTCATCCCCATGATATACCATAACTCATTAATTAATTATATCATCATCTCATACATGCAATTCTGTATGCTATTAATAAAATGTGAACTTCATCATGACACCATTCTTGTACATGGTGGAATGTGTTCACCTGCTCCATATGTTAATCAAATATATCATTTTGAATAACGTTACATATAATATTTGCTTATTTGGGGCTGATTTCTTTAATAATTACTGTCTACTGCATATTAATCTATTTAACCGCATCATAACTGTTTGCTTTTTGCCTTTATATTTTTTCATCTTCCCTGCATGAACATTCTATCTTTTGTCTTCTCTTCCTTTCAACTTCTTTTATACTTTTCCTGCTTCACTATTCCTTTTTTTTTCTTATTATTTTCTTTGTATCATCATTATCAATCATCTGGGCTATACTTTATGGTGGTATTAACTTCATGATTTTGAAAATATATGTAATCATATTTGCTTGGAAAATGCACTTCAATTTGGGAACATACTGTGCATTATGTTACTAATTTTTGCATACTGGCTTTGAACAAAATAATCTTTAAAAAAATCACATAAATCAAACTATACTTATATTATCAATATGCCCCACCCAATCCACAACATTTTCTTTTAACATCTTTAATTTAATCAACTTTCAATATGAAATTTGCCTTACTTATTTGGCTACACTTGCTGCATGTCTATAACTGTTATATACATCTGCACCTGTTGCTGATATACTGCACCCCCTTCCCCCACTCTTTGACACCATTCCTCCTCCCCCTCCTCATTCTCACCCTCCCCTTCCATCTCCTCTTAATTCTTGCCTCTATTGTTTATATTGCCTTCTGTGCATTCTATCCTATCTGAACACTCACTTGTCCCCTGTGGTAAACCCATCAACAAACCACTGATGAAATTACTGGACCTACCACACCCTATCTCTCTACCCCGTCCTGTAACTTGCTCTTGAAAATACACCACATCACTTCCAACCCCTCCTACCACTCCCCACCCGCTCCCCATCCCTCCCCACCCCTCCCACTCCTCTCCACCCTATCACCTATCACCTATCACCACCGCCTTGCTTAAAATGCTGCACCCGCCACACCCTATCTCTTTACCCCTCTTGTACTGCCTTGCTCTCTTTATATACCCTCCCTCCTTCATCCCCTCTTATCCCTTGCTGGTGCTCCTTCCCCGCCATTAACCACCCTAGAACTAGTAAATGAAGTGGATGAATTGCTTGCCAAGACAGGAATCAACATCAGCATCGAGGGCGAGACAGACGACAACCCTGACATCACCATCGACGAGGTCAAGGAATACGAGTAAGTTTTTAAAAATGATGTTGATTTTAAATTTAAGATTAGTTACCAGGGCTGAAAATGCTTGGCATAAACTTCTCTTGACATCCATATTGACTGAAATTGGGTTATCCCTAAATTTTACTAGATGAAGAGTTACAATCATATTAAGTTGTAAGGAAAATATTTGACGTTGAATTTTTAATTTAAGGTTAGTTACCAAGTCTGAAAATGCTTGGCATAAACTTCTTTTGACATCCACATTGACTGAAATTGGGCTATCCCCAAAGTGTACTACCCGTAGATGTAAATTTACAATCATACATGTATAAAGTTGTAAGGATAATTATTTGATGTGCAGACAAATTCATGAAAGAAATTTTATCAAATAACATGCTTTGGAACTAAGTATGGGACGTGACTTCTGTGAAATTAAGGCAAGTAATAAAGGCAGTACAATTTGTGTGTAAAAAGATCTTTAGGTAACTTTGTTTAGCAGTATGACCCGGAAATTCTATTATTTCAGTTCTTTGACCAGAAACTATGATTGAACATTATTATATTCAATTCCGTGATTAGTGATCTGACACCGTTATTCTTTAAAGGAGTCAATCATTCTATTCTCATCACATTTAACTCTCTTTGTTTACAATTGTTTTAAAGAGATTAAACTGAAATGATGGTAAGTTTTATCCCCTACGTCGTTGCCTCCACATTTGCTCATTGATGTGGGCCCTCCACACATGACCTAACCCATGTATCATTTTCCATTCCATTTTCTCTGTAACAGCAATAAACCAAAAGAGGAGATTGTGAATGGGACTGGTAAGGCGAACTAACATTTCTTCTCTTCCATAATCCCCCTCCCTGTCTCACTTTCTTACCATTAATTCATATTTAACCAATATTTACACATCTCTACCATTAAACACATAAATAAATACAGGGTTATCTATAAACTTGTTCACACTTTATTCTGCATGTATTTAAACATTCATCTAACAACTTATATTCTAAATATTGGAGCATTATAAGCCACAAACTGTTTAAGTACAATGTTATTTTAAGCTTTATCTTGTGAGTATTGCATAACTATTGCACAGGGCAATCGGACATACTAATCAAACATTGCTATATTGTCTGCTAAGAGGCAGAAGGGCTTTACCGTGTTTCCTTTAATCCTTTCACGACAAATATTCAATTTTTGTGGTTTGGCTCAATGCCTTTTGATTTTATAGAGTCCCTAAAAATGTACCAGATACTTGAGTAGAAAGGGCAAACATTTTTGCACTCACTGCATCTATTTTTGTTTCATGACTATATTGCATTTGATGCTTGGAATTTTCAAAAAGAAAGTTGGATTTAAAATCCTTCAATTGGCAACACATTTAGAAATTAAAAATTATTGTTTTTCGATAAAACTTGCCATTTTAAAAACTTTTGTGTAACACCCTGGCCAGTGTATTTTGTTTTCAGAGACCTTGCATTTTGTTCCATCATTGAAGCGATAAAAGAAAAAATATTATTGTTGCCAATTTGAAGAACAAGATGTGATCAATTCAGCCCTAAAAATGAATCATGTCTTGAAAAGGTTAACATAGAGATAAAAGAGTTAAGGCCCTTCTTGCCTTTCATCACATGATATCATCACACTGGTCACATGGTTGGTCACATGGTTCATCACATGGTTCATCACATGATATATCACATGATATAAGATATCACATGTTATATTATAAGCTGCAGAACATAAAACAGTATATATTATATTCATAAATCTGCTATGCCAAGAAACAAAATCACATAAACATTGCTGCATATTAGCAGTGACTACATGGTACAGGAGTATGAAGAAATGGACATAATGACACTATAAAAGTCATGAACTCATGTCATGAATCAGTTTGCTTCCCAACGTTCTATTATGGCATTCATCAAAGAAATGTTATTGATGTATATTGTGTGTGTATTCTATTAGTACTACATTTATGCTGAAGGTGATTTTGTGATTCTATCTGTTTGATAATCAGGAATATACATACACAATTATTAGCTACCCGGGTATTTTCATTTGAATTACAAAATAGAGTTCATATCTGATTTTCTTCTTTTGTTTTGCATTGTCATTTAGCTTGCTAAAAAGACTGTTACACACAAAGAAAAAAAAAGGGGGGGGGCTCAAAATTAATGGGACTGCTCTTTGCTTAAAGGATAAGTAAAGAACTTCTACAAAGCAGCAAGATCATCAATACATAATTATCTATGTTTGTTACAATATTATTCAAATGTAATGAGCCAAGGGCAAAATAGGTCACTTATTTTTGTCAAAGTTAAAGGGGAAATACTACACAAAGTCTCACTTCAATGACTCAATGACCATCGTAGTCAGAAAGTGCACTATCCTTTTTGTCTTGTCCGAATTGTTTTGCAAGAATGAATATGTTATTGGTGTCGGTGGTCTGAATGTGAGTATAAGTTTATGTGCGCATGGCAATGTAAACCGCATGGCTATGATTATAAGGATATACCTTGTTTTTAAATGAATGAATGAGGATGATTTCATTTCAAATTTATGTATTAAAATAAAATAATAGGGTACTTTTTTATCATAAATTTAATGTTTCATAACAATCATTTTGGAATAGGCTGAACTGTTCGTCACAAATTAACACAAGCTAGTGTATAGTAAACCCAATACCTATTCAAATTATTATTAATAATATTATGTCTTTAATTCATTAGCAATTTCCACATAGGCTATTTGGAAATGTTTATGTTTCCGAATGTTTGTGATTGTAGCATAATTAGCCTGGTATTGTGACCACAGTAAAAAGTGCCAGCTGTACTTGTTCTGTGAATTTGTTTAAATGAAATAATTTCAAAGCTATAGTCGCAAATCAAGCTTTTGCAAGCACTTAATATGCACTGACATTTTTAATGACATTTTTAAGTTTATTATAATGTCTTGTGTTATTTCATCACATATTGTACATTTGTCATTATGTATTGAGAAAACAGGTTAATATTGAACATTTATTGGCAAGAATAAGTAATGCCTTTACTTGGAATTCAATTTAAAAGTTTGATAACTATTATGGTAATTAAAATTAAGGGACTTGTTTTTAAGACCTCTCTGACTATCAATTTTTGCAACAGAAGTCATACACTGTATCTAGCAGAAGTTATATCTAATGGAAGTTATGTCTAACATAAGTTACAGTTTTGATGCAGAAGCAGGGATGGAGAAAATTGTTAGATATGAACAAATATTTGCACTTGCTTTAAGATTTTTCTTGGAAATATTTTTGTCCCGTAGTATTTTGTAATATTTGTATGCTTAAATAGTCATGTAGCATTGAATTATAGATATATATAGGAAGTTAGGAACAAATAGCCTCGGAAAGGAATGTTTTAATGGAGCTGAAACTTTTAGTAGATTAATAATTATCAGAGTGTTAAGAGAGCACCTTCTTGTGGGAAAGCAAGGGCAAACGTAAAAGCAACCAAATCCAAAAGTTGAATGCAAACGGTGCATCTTTGCTTGCCAGAGTCTCAATTCTTTGATTTTTGATGCTATGTTGTCCCCTCTTTACGTTGTGTTGTGTCGTTAAGCAGCCGATCCTGATGAAGGTGTCGTGAATAAAGAGCCTGCACCCGCTGTAAACGGAGAAACTGAGGTCAGAAAAGTGTGTTGCTCCCTCTAGTGGCCTGCATCCAACCTCTCCCCCTCTCTCTCTATTTTGCTATGATACCATTCATTATTAGCATCTGAACATGTTTTCCCCATCAGTAGATCTGTCGTGTTTGTTTTTGTTGTATATTTCTTTTAGTTCGGTTTGATGCATTTTCCCAAAGTGCACCAGTAGTGTTCACTACATGTACTTGTGTGAAGAAGTTTCATGTTACTTCGATAGGGATAATGTTAATTGAATCAAAAAGATGATGGGGGTCTCCGCATTGCACGATGGTTAAAAGTCAACAAAACAAAATCATGCATTTAAATATATATATGAATATACAAGCACTTTATTTTGTGTGAAATGTACCATACATTGTACATTTATAAGCTGAGTTCATTCATTGCCATAGGCGTAATACAGGGGCTGCTCGGATCCAGTAGGTAAGGGGTTAACATGAATTAACTATACTTTTCTACATTTGCACATCGCTAATCTCTGCCTAAAGTGTTCCATGCAGATAAAGTACATAATGCAAAAAGGCAGCTAGAACTCCTAACCTCAGCTCTACTAATGAATTGACTTGCCTCTTACCCTTAAAGCAAAAAGTGTACTTTAATCCCTGAATGAAGTGCAAACTGAAGCAGTTATGCATATTCCTATATTTAAGATGACATTAATTAATCTACAAGGATTATTTGAGAATTGTTCAGAGTTTGAATGAAATAAAAGGGGAGGTGGTAGGGAGGAACACATTTGATGAGTTAATGATCTCTAGATCTAAAGATACAAATTTTGAAGTGGCCATAGAAATAGCAACTAACCAAATCATATCGTACTACCTAGCTGCTTCATTAAATTACATACTAATTTGAGATAGTTCTTGTGTATGACCAAAAAGATTTGAAGTAGATAGTGAAAGTTTATTGCCACGCTTAATTTCGAAACACTTCTGGCAATAAGCTTAAATAAATAGAACATTTTATCTGCAAATTTCTTCAGGTCTACCCCTTCTACACACACACATATATATATACAGTCAAACCTGCTTAGCGACCACCTGTCTACAAAGACCACATGTTTTGTTTCCCTTGTAAATGGTTTCTCATTGAAACATCTACTAAAGGAACCCGACTTAAAGACCACCTGCCTATAAAAACCACTTTCTTTTCTCGCTTGGGTGGTCTTTATAGACAGGTTTGACCGTGTATATTATATTGCAATAAGTAGGCCCTACCGTATTCCTTTAAGCTGTGTTTTCTGTCTATCTTGATATTCATGGACTTTGATTGATAGAATTAACCTTTCTTGGGGCCTTTCCCTAGTTCTCCTTAGTTGAATGAAAACTAACATCTGTGTGACGCTTTGCTAAGGCAATTAATTTGATTTAAAAAAATAAAAAATCGCAACTTAAACAAAAATCAACCCTAGGCAATCTCAATAGAACTGTGTATCATGTTTTGAAATGTGCGAACATTACGAGGGCATTATGTCATCATCTGAAGTTCTGAACGTGAATTCTATAGGCGATGCATTAGGCTATTGAAATTGCCCGTCAGGTGATTTCTCGTAAGACGATCATGTTGAATCCACTTTTTGTAGGACTGATAAAGATTTTTCAGTCATCCATGTTTACATCACATCATTTTCATCACCGCCATCTCATCATTGTCAGTTACATAACCATAACCTTGATGCAATGAGTGTCAGTTTTAGTCACTATCTAGGGCATTTCACTTTTTTTATGCCTCCGCCTACTGAAGGTGGTGCCGGAGGCATTATGTTTTCAGGTTGTCCGTCCCGCTTTCTTGTTACCACGATATCTCAAGAAATGCTTGGGGTATGAACTTCAAACTTGGTGATTGCATGTACCACAATAGGAAGACAATCTGTTTTGATTATGGGGTATGAAGGTCAAAGGATAAAGGCCATAAAGGTCAGTTTCTGAATGTTACAGGTATTGGCCTAGTTATCACAGTACCTCAGGAGCTAGTGGAGTTTTAAACTTTATGACAGTGTTTATTACCATAGGAAGAATATCTGACCATATTTTGGGGTATGTAGGTCAAAGGTTACAGAGGTCAATTTCTGAAACTACAGATATTAGCCTCGTTATCGCAATATCTCAAGAACCACTTCACGTATGAATTTCAAACTTTGTGACAATATGTATCACTGTAGGGAGACGATCTGATTAGATTCTGGGGTAGATAGGTCAAAGATCATTATACCGAAGTCATTAGTTGACATGTAATTATAGGCTTCTTTTATCATCATGATATTTCAAGAATAAGTCCATCCATTTCCTTAACTGAAGTTAGGGCGGACTCCGGGGGAGGCATATTAATAGGAGATGCAGTCGTATTTCTCTTGTTATTTCTTACCTGTATGCTAATCATCAAATTTATTTTTCGAAGATGCTAGAATCACCATTCACACATATTCACAGTCGTCATCATTCTCCATTTCATACACATCAACATTGTAGAATAGAAAAATTAGAAGAAAAAGAAAGAAAAAAGAAGTCGTGTTTGTGTCGTGTGTGATTATAGCAGTTTGATCTATTTAGGCTATTTTTTTTATTGTTGTCTGGTTAGACCCAGAAGTGTGTTCACTTTTACGTTACCATAGATTTAATGCCCTTCTTGCTCTCAACAGACAAGATCTTACTATTTTTGTGTGGCTCATTGAACTATTCTTATCATAAACAAAAAGATTGTTTTACCTGTGAGACTTTTGCCTATGTTGATGCAGGCATCATCAGACTGACGTATTATCACCACTAGATGGGGTGATACAATGAAAATTCAATATATGGAATAACGACCAATCAAATGAACCCTCTTCAAGGATATTCTCATCTTTGTAGAGAAGGAATATTTTGTTTGTCCATTCTTTTTTTCTGTTTCATTACAGAATTCCTTTCTTTATGAATTTTAAAATCCTATTCCTCCCTTTTTTGGTTATATGATAAAAGAAACATTTATAGAGTCTTCAAAGAAAGAGCACTTTTCTTATCCTATTGACAGCAATTCCAATATTATGGGATCTATGACATTAAAGTGATTGTCTTATCAATATCAATCAACAGATTATGAGACAGTTGTTATGGCATAAAATTCATTCATAAAACTTTGAAGAACCTGAAGGAAATGCTGGATGTCATCGTGTTGAAACTTTCAAGTTTACAATTTGCTTCTAAGAAGGTTGATACAATATTAGCAACTTTGTGAAATATTGATTCATATTATACTCTCTATCAAAGATAACTTGCATGTATTGAGAGTGTCAAGTGTGACAGACATGAGCGCTTTGCAAAAACCCAATTTTATAATCATATGTATTCTCAGTCATTCTAAACATGACCTTTTTTTTTTAAAGGTTTAAGAATTATTTTTAAAAAAGAAGATATATTTAATGCTTTCAATGGAAAAATAACATATTCATCTTTCCTTTTCTAAATTGACAATTCAAAGAAAATTGCCAGAAATGCAAGTGCGACATTGATTTGGGTAATAGAATACATGTAATGTAATTTCTTAACATTAATCCCTTTTGTGATTTAATCTTTCTTATTGCTGCAGACTAATGAAGTGAACGGGGAGCCGCAGCTTGAGAAATTACAAATTGAGGAGTAACTTACATGAACGGGAGCCAGTGGGACTGAAGAACAGATCCCACATCGTACTTCCCAATGGTGATCGCGAAGCAAGGCAGAGAGCGCATGGATTGTGTGTTAATCCAGAAACAGCGTGGGAGCTTTCTACGAAACTTCTATCAAAACTTGTTATCGTGCTAGATTTTCTGTGTCTTGCTTGCTCTTCCTCTTTTAAGAAAAAAAGTAATGAATTTTGCTTCAATATTAAATTCCAATTAAATAGATTAGTAGAGTAGGCTAACGCAAGGACTTGACTTCATATTAAATAACTCTGCGTTGATGTTGCAAAGAGTCGTGTCAATCTAAAAAAAATACATGCGTTTTGAGAGTGAATGCGTAGAGATGTTGTGAAGAATTGTAAACTGCAACTGAAGGCATCATTTTTTTCTTTCTGCCCATGATTTTTCAATTATTGATGTGATAATTTTGATTTATTGATAATATGCCATTGCTGATGGACCAATTTGAATTTTTGGAGTGCATTTCTTTGGAACAAGTCAATAATGTTTTTGGATAACAGTACAAATACATTCTGTACTTTTTTTAATACCGTATGAATAGAGCTACAAGTGATAAAACTGGACGAATTGGGGTGTGGTTGTGAATGAATTTGTCAGACTGCTTATTGGAATTGTTGTGTGGGATGTTTTTTTTAAGAATAAGGTTAATTCAAATAGAATTTTCACAGTGATTAAGATGAAATTTAAATGTGAAAGTCTGATATAGACTTAGAAATTCCAGACAGGTATTTGTTGAAGGACCAATTTCTGTGGGTTTCCGTTCGAAAGAGATTCTGAAGACTAGCAAAGATAAACATTGTCATGCATTTGTCAGCAATTTCTGGCTCTTAAAAATATTGCAAGGTTAATCATGATTATGAAAGAACATGCTTTACATATCAGCAAAAGAAAACTAGGCAGTGTCTCCATTTTTCAAGGTGTTATCTTTTTCTGCTTGTGTGGTGATTTTAAAAGGATTTATCATGCCAATTGCGATGATTTTACTTTTGCTAGTATATGAAACAGTCAAATTGTCAGTAAAATCATACAAAATAGCATTCCATTTCAAATGAATTCTCAACATTTTGTATTTTTCCTATTCTTGTGTCTAGACAAGTTACCAATATTCTTTGTGTTCAATATCAAACAGAAATGAATCTAATTGTTGTCTTCAAATTCAGGTTATTAGCTGCAACTTTTTCTGATGGCGCTATAGAGTTAACTCAAATTGAATGGTGTTTTTCAATTAACTTGGTGCCCTATTTTGATGTATCTAATGTATAGTATGGATTGTAAAATGACTGCCTTTTGACAAGGGATATAGCCCAACTTGTTGCCTCTTTTGTTGTATGTTTATATAAACCTGTAGTTTTTATTATATTTGTTGAAGATCTTTTAAAAGATATATAATCAACAAACAATACCTAATTATTTCTTCTATTAATAACTATACGCTCTCTATCACGTCGATTGCCATTTTGTAAAGAATCAACACATGTTTTGTTTTTTAGATGCAAATCATGGATTACTGTAATGACAGCTCTGTTTGAGCTACCAGTAAGAATAAATGACAAATTAACTTTTAAGAGTTGAAGGTTAACTACTCTCATACCTATCTGTACATGATATAATCGACCCATATATCAGATGTTTGGATGTCTAACCATGAATTTTCTATAAAATTGTCAGTACTTACATTGTAGATGGTTGTAACATGCCTGCGGGTTAAACTGTAGTACCTGTTAAGAAGTACTTGAATTTGTAGTACTAGTTTTGTTTGTAACTTGGGTTTGTTTTGGAGCTGGTAGCATTGTCCAAAGAACAGTAGTTAAGCAGCGTAGACCATTCCTTAAAGTATATATCTTGACAAATCTTTTGGTTTCCGATTCTTTGCGAGCATTGTGACGTCAAAAGAGTGTTAAGGAGTGTGTGGGGTTTTTTCTCCTCGATATGTGCATGCGTGAGTTTGATGTGATGAAAGCAGTGTTTTGTATCAAAAAGAAGGCAGTCAATATAGTGAAAAAGTACTCATTGGTAACAGATGGAATTCCCAACATAACTTGTCTGTATGTTGATGTGTAAAGCCTTAAAAGGAAAGATTTCTTGGTGTTGTTTAGATTATCGTAGATGTGTTTGTTTTTGAGACTGATTTCAATGGATCTTTCCAACCTTTTTTTCTGATCAAACTGCGTCTTCTTTTTCTACTCCGCCTGTGCCATTACAGTGACGTGCGGGCAGACGAAGCACGTTTTTGAATGTCATTTGATTGTAACCATTTTCTTGCTGGTTTGATGCAATTATGTATGTGTAGTAATAGTAGTATTTTGATGGAATAATGGTGTAATTATAAAAATGTGACCATGTCATAATGTAAACATTGTACATTTAGTGGATAGTGAACAAATTTTTCTTTCTATAAATGAAGTAATGGCTTTGATATAGTGTAAAATTCATAATTGTGTAATATGTGTAAAGAAAAACAAAGGTTGTACTATTTTTTCCTCTTCCTTGTGTTGTTGTTATTGTTATTGCTATGCTCTATTATGTCAGTCAAGTACTCAGTGATTGCTTGTATGTTGTTGGTACAATGCACCCTGGCACCAGAGGAAAATAAGAATTTATTGTCAGCTGCGCGCATGAAGGCTTTTATTGCTTTTGACAATACACAGCTGTTTAAGCCTTCTTGCGGGCATCTGACGCAATGTACAAATATTTTCTTGCTACGGACGCTTACTTCTTTTAAAGATGTAGGCATTGGCATTTCTTTGGTATTCAAGATGCGTTCCTGCTTAAAAAATTGAACAACATTTTGTAGAACTCTAGGTGTATTCATTTCCACAATTTATATGGTTCAGTTGTACATTGTTCATTTGCTTTTGCATCTCATGTAATGGCTTAATGTGAAATATGCTATAAAAAAGTTATGATTATGTATCTCAAGATATAATTTATGTTGAAAATCGGTTGTATGCTGCTTGTAATATTTCCTATTATTTTTGTTCTTGCTATCTTATCAATATATTAGCTACAGCGATAAAAGCAGTTTGGATGGTTCTGCACTTTTGATATTTTTCAGAAGAAAAAATTGAGAACTGTAGAATAGAATTGTTGCCAATTAGGATAGTTTAATTTTTTGTCATTCTCCATTCATTGGTTTATTTACAGCAATGCTAGAATTTTTTGCGACTTGGTTGAAAACAAAATAGTCATGACATTCCTACAATTATCTTTGTATTTTTCTTCCCTTTTTTGGAGCTTTTTTGTTTGTTTGTAAAATTTGTGCCAGGATAGATCCAATAAAACATTGTGTGAATGTGAACAATGATGTCATTTTCCTTTTTTCTTCTTAATGGTTGTTTTTGTGAAGAACTAGCCAAAATACTCGAGCTGTCAAAGTGTGCAAACAATACTCTAACACTTGAATGTAGTATGTTTTTGCAACTGCAAGAATATGATTGTTAACGGTGGTGGATTTAGGGGGTGGGAGCAAAATCAGCTGTGACCCCTTTGAAACTGTTTTATATCATAAGTACAGATGAACACAGATATGAAGTTTAATTTAACCCCATTATTTTTTGTTGTAAACTTCTTTTCAAATCTTAGAACAGGAAAAAACAAACCATAAAATAATGAATTTTTAGGTGATTGTCAGAAATTTTCAGACTTAGGCTGCCCCCCCCCCCCCCCCCCCCCCACTCCGGTCTCCTCCCCTGCTTTTGATACAAAATCCCTGAATCACCTTCAAGGGCTGCATCATTACTACTTCTGGTATGAGTTAGAAGGATTTTTACTGCTTATCTGTAAATTGAAAGTTATCTTTATTTGAATTGAATTGAATCTAAAAAAAAGTAATTTGAATTACAGAAAATAGCATTTTGCTAGATGAAAATCACAGTAGATGGTCAAGACAACAATTTGCTGGATGTATTTGGTTGGAAATGGATTAGAGCCTCTCATTATGAACAAGTGAATTCAAAGAAATTGTGGCTTCTGAGAAAATGAAAGAGCGAGATAAAGAGGGAGAGAGAATGGAGAGAGATCGTGTGTGAGAGAGAAAGAGAAGACCCGGATGGAGAGATGGAGGTGGGGGAAAAGGACAGTAAAGAGGACAAGGGAATAGAGACGTGTCAAGATATGGAGAGAGAGAGAGATTATGGGGAAAGAGGTATGCGAAAATAATAAAAGAAAAGGTGAGGAAAATGGAAAGATGATGAATCCTGGCCATTTAGATAAGAGGTGTTTAATAATAAAATTGCATATTTCACAAGATCGAAGGCATGCTTGTAGAATTTGATAACAAGATAGAGAGGCTCTTGGAAGATTTTTGCATTTACGGGTTTATTCAGTCGGTTTTTGCAATCCCCACCCCTGTAGAATTTAATTAAATCAATCCGATTTTTATAAAGTTGTTTAGCGCCAGCTGTGGCCAAGAAAATTCAACTTAGCGGCTGCTAGTGGCTATTTCTTAGGATGATCTACGGCTCTTCGCTGGCCGCGCCTTCCTCGCTCGCTTCAGTTCGGTAGACATTCACAATAAGACCTTGAGCGGAGGAAAAGTGTGCCGCAGATCACGACGGAATAGAAAGTGAATCGTCGGAAAGGATACGATATATCGTGCCAGAGCCAGCCCACCCGTACAAAAATATATACCTGTCGTCAGCTGCACACACGATGGACAGCATGGATGTTTTGGAAGTAAGTCTTGATCTTGAAATATTTGTTTATTAAATTATCTGTCTATCTGTGTATGTGCAGAGCGATTAAATTGCGAGGTGGAGTCTTGCATTAGAGTCTTGGGAAGTTGTGAAATTAGGTAAGCATGAGTAACGTTATGATTTCTCAAGGTTCTAAACAATTACAATTTACACAGCGTGTAAAAGTTGCCTTGTATACAAATATGGCATGGCTGTTCGTTAGTCCTCGCCCACAAAATCAATTATCCTTTCGTGTGGTTGAAACATCCAAGCTCTTTTGGGGTGGTCCTTATTTTTTCACTGTGTTTTCAGTGTCTATTTATCTAACAAGAAACGAACTAAAAGTTATAATGTACAAATCTAAACAGTGTAAATGAGCCAAAGTTGTATTGTTTCATGTTTGTTTTGTTTTACCTGTATTAAAATATTACCATGCATCATTGTGTAACTTTTCTCTTAGAGTTGGTGTGTAAACATTGGGGTCTCATTTACTCAATTAGATTTTTAGTTTCATTCATCATGCCTGGTCATAGATCTATTTATATTCCACTAGCATATGTCGAGGGACTTGCTTGGATGAGGAAGAATGCACCTTCTTCATGTTATTAAATGCATTTGAGATACAATTTTGTTTAATGACCAAGACAACAAGTAATATTACTACTACTAGACATAATTAGTACTGGTACAGTAGAATAGATGACAAGATTCAAGGTGCATCTTGCTGTAGGCCTATATTGTAATTAATGTAAGTCTTGCACAGTGAATATGATTTCTGAAATTGGGAGAATGTTATGTAACAAGTCTGATAATATAAACTTTAGGTTGCATTCATATATGTGATGGCCCGGATCATGAAAACAAGGATTTTCTTTAATTGAATCTCTTCAAATAATTATTTCTTAGAGGGGAACTTATTTTCCCCTAATGTTGCAAGTGATATTTGTACAGAGCTCACAGGGAGGCCTGTCATACTGCATATTCAGCATAATATATTTCAAGGTTCATTTGCTTGCTAATAAAGCTGAGTTGCCTACTAAGCAACTATAATGTTTGACTTTAAGACTTTGAGACTTTGAGCTGTAGCTTTTATACATGTACCTATATGGAAACTGCTTCATTTAATTAGAGTAACCTGTAGTAACTGGCCGGCTGATTAAAAGAGTGGATCACAACATATATTTTTAAGATGAGCAAGAGATAAACTTTCTATATTAAGGATGAACAGATGACTCTTTGTAACAGGCTACAGTTTTTGTCAGTGTTTAGGATCTTAAGAAAATGTCAGTCACCAGAAATAGCATCCTGTGCATACAAGCATACCTTTCCCTTCATGTTTTTATAATTATAAAGAAGAAGATTTAAGATTAAAAGGTCAAGGGTGGTAATTTTAAGGCTGCAAAGAGGCTTAAGATCTTATGCTTAAAAGTAGCTTGAATAAGTTGTGGTCAGGGAGGAGGACCGGAGGGCGGATGATATTTGGTCATTTGAAGCAATGTAAACACCTAACAGATTGCCTACTGGTTGATGGAAGCTGCATGGTCTATGTATTCTACAGGTTAAAAGAATAACTGGTGCAATTAACCAGAAGAAATTTGCATCTTCAATGCTGACACTCGTTTGACCAATAATGTTGATTTGTAACATATGTACACTGACTGTAGGCCATTTTTGTTATGAATACAATACATGGAACCGTGAATGCATTTTTCAAGAAAGAAAAAAAATCACTGCTTTCCCTCCATTCTACATCTTTGTTCCATAGTTATTTGATTGTGCAAACTTTATGTAAAAAAATACCAACTATTCAAAAACATTTTTCTATTGTTACTGCGAAAAGGTAAACGTAGCTTGTCATATATGTATTTATGATTGTTATCATTAAAACACATGAAAGCTCTCACATCTCGCCTAATTAATTTAGCACGGCAGACTATGATACAGCTAATGTCTCTCGCCAGCTGTTGAGTTTTCTTTGGGTTGTCTAGCATGCATCAACTGAAATATCAGAGATACAGGAAATCTTATATCAATGGGATTTAGGGTTTTGAGCTGGGTCATGGGGGTGAGTGAGTAACGTCCCAGTCAGTATGGAATCTGACTTGGCTGTTCACAAGAAGAATATCTCCTTGTAATGTTATACTAACCACATTAGGATTTGAGGCATACTCTAAGCTTCTCAGACATTTTGGTAGAACGGCCACGGTTGTAAATATGAGAGAGGGAGGTTTTATGTTTAAGAAATTAAGCCTGTGCTTATAATAAAGGCAGACAATAAGGTGCTTTGTGATGGAAGTTTTTTTTAACAATTTACTTTAGTGTGTTCACAGTGGGAACAATGTGAATGCAATGGTACACAGTGAGGATAATTGTATGAGCACAGATTATACCCAGTGTTAAAACAATTAACTTGTACAATGTATATTGTACACACCTGGGAAAAGTGAGCAAAGTTTATACACAGTGATGAAATAGTGTAAACACAATGTTTACATTATGGGAAATGGTGTGAACACCATGAACACAGTGTAAACACATTTGTTGAAATAGTGCCAACACAGTATGTACAAATGTACACTTGTCAAATGGTGTGAACACAATGCGTACATGTACATCATGTTAAAAAGTGTAAACAGTGCTCATACTGGTGTGAAAAAATGTGAGCATAGTGTGTTCAGTGTGTAAAAATGGTGGGAACATAGCGAATTCTCAATATCAATTATCAACAGTATTTATGAATTCACATCTCTTCTGTGGACTTTCTGTAGTGGATGGCCCTATAGTATTGGCCTACATTCTAAGAATTTCTCTACGTTTCTTCATCATTTATCAACCAATATGTGTGAACAATATATGTCAAATTGAAGTGTGAAATTCAATTTTTTATTTTGACCTGTAAACGTATAATAAAAATGGTAATTTATGCAAAGTACATGTACATGCCCATTGAAAATATTCCTACTTGTGCAACAAAAGTGCAAATTTTTTGAAAATCCCAAATTGAAGTTGAGTCACTTTCATCTCATCAGTACAATACAACTAACCGTACATGCACCTATTTCTTAAATATACCAGTCTTGACCCCAATATGAATACCTCACGGTCCTCACCAATGTTTACCAGTGGTGTTCTCCAAGTACAGCTTATCAGGGAGTTACCAGCATAACTCCTTGATCTAGAATAACTGAACACAGTACAAGCCTAGGTGCTGAATACCGGTACAGATCATCCCGCATTTTGGCTTTCTCTAAGTTCACACATCAGTAGTCAACATAATCAACCAGATTACCCGGTGTTTGCCAATCCTTAGACAGTCTGTACATCTCCCTTCAGATTCCTTAGAAAGTAGCAGGGGCAAAATCCCCAAATATTCCAGGATTTACATGGTGCCCTTGTTTGCGGAACACTTGGAAAAGTACACATTGAAAGAAGTGACTTCTGTGGTTGAAAGCTGGGGCCACCTACCAGTGTGTGAATTTCTTCAAGCATGCTTGAAGTGATCCAAATACTGCTTCAGCACTGACTTCGAACCTACTGACTTTTTGCCATTTGGAGTAATGTAATTGTTTGATCGGTCTGTTGTCGATCTTTTGTTGGTCTGCCGTTGGTCTCCTTGGTGTAACTAGAGCAGGGTCCAGGAGTATAAGGGTTGTAACATTTTTTTTACCCTGCATGGTTTGCCCATGTTGTGTGTAGAGGTACTACAGGGTGTAGTTCTTGCTCCAAAAAAAAAGAAAAATTCTCAGTCTTATTCATTTGAGTATATTTGCCTTTCTCATATAAATTCTTATAACGCACAAAAAGTGATCTTATTTTTTTTACACAAAATGTATGGCCAAAAGAGCACTGAATTAATTATATAACATATTTTTGTGTAATAATAAAACATACAAAAACAATGGAACAATCGTCCTGCTTCAATATAGCACTTTCTAATTCATGGGAGGATCCCTGACATTTCTGTTCTGAGTTACAATGTACTACATGTATACATTTCAAATGTAGATATACTGTCATTGTGAAAAAATAATTTAAAGGGCAATTCATCTACTCATATCCACCCTCCCAATTCCCCCCCCCCCCATCCTTGCTCTTCAGCTTTCTCAATCCATCTTCTCACCTCCTTTTTCTCCCTACCTTTTTTGGCTCCCTCTGTTCGAGCCCCTCTCCCTCTAATTTTTCTTGTATTATCCCAATCTCACTTTCTCTTTGGCTCTCTTCATGGAGGAATCATAATTTTCTTGTTCAGATATATTACAAATGCTAGTTATTCAATATTTCTGTGTTTTCTATTCTGCAGAGCCAAGGAATCGTAATCTCGGAAGCGCAGCATACAAGTAAGTCTAGTCACAATACATTTTAGACCCTCAACTTGCCTCAAGGTTTTTAAATAGAAAACATGGTACCAGTTAAAACAGTTCAATGCTGAAGTATGTAGAATGTAACATGAGAGAGGCACAAGCCATCTAAGGAACTGAAAAGTTTCATGTCCTAAAAGCATAATTGATTTCGGATATCAATTTCAGACTCTCAATTCAGAGGTTTTGACCTTCAGTTTCAATGCAAAAATATTGGTTGAGTATGATATGAAATGGTATTCTAGTGTAACATGATAACAGCTACATCCCAAAACCCAATTTGTGTCAAACTAGGAACTGAAGAAATTGCTTGAACATGATTTTAATCTTTCATTTATTTATTGATATTGTATAGTATAGTAAATATTGTTCAATGCTAATTCATGCAATCGAAATGCTGTATAATATATGGGCATTAGCAAATAGCCTTGTCAGAAATTTCTGGACAAGTATTTTAAGTACTTTGTATTAAATTGTATTATTGTATTCGGTAATACCATCAAGCTCTTAGACTGCCCGATGAAAAGAAAAGATTAGCCACTCCGACCATTTTCTCACACTCTTGCATTCACTAGTAATGGGTTTTATATTACTATCCCAGGGGCAGGATGGAAGTGAGTGAAAGCTAATAGAAGTGAATAGCCCTGTATTCATTGATTACATCCCATGGACTCAGTCAGGAGATGAATTTAGTTTTTGGCAGGTAAACTGAAGATAAATGGGGAAAGCCGGGCACCTAGTACCTGTAATGTAGTATCCATGCAGTACACATGTGGACTCAGGTAGGGAGTTATGGACTATTAAAGTTGACAATGTCCCCCCCCCCCCCTTTTTTTGTTGAAAAAAAGTAAGTTGATACAGTTTGTATCCATGCTGTGCTTCATAGGGATCATGGACTTAACAGCTTTGAAACATTTTAGCCTATGACCCCCACACTTGTGGAAATCATGGATGTGCCTCTGCGGAACCCTACAACAATTGTCAATTTTTAAAGCTTTTAGAGCTTTTTGGCCCTGTACTTTTGTGTTTCTGGGTTTCAGGCAAAGTATATGCACATACAGTGTACAGTTAAACCATCAAGTTCTTTGAAAATTCAATGAAAACAAATATCAAACAAGAGTACATTTGTTTGCAAATCATCTATTCATCTAAATTGGGGTCTCTAGAAATGCAGCATTAGCGCCCCCCCCCCCCCATCCATCAACTAACAATGAATCATACACTTTGAACATGTTTATGTTGATGTTATACATGTATGTCTGATGTAAAGTGTCCCCCCCCCCCCAAAAAAAAAAAAAAAAAAAAAAAAAATCCCAAAGAAAACGTTTTCAACTTATTTTGTATTCATCAATGTTATATATACCTTTCATTTGTATGCAATTTGTTTGTAGTTAAATCTTGAATCCATGTCTTCAATATATTGTAGGGCCTACCTGGCTTCATGCATCTGTCAGTGCAAGTGGAAATCAGGTACATGTAAATTGAGATCAAACGTGATGTTAAGAAATTGAGTTTGTTGTTCATTCCTAGGGCTATTTGATGAAAGTGAAAGAAAGTTTCTATTCATGCTCGAAATTGTTCAGTCTTCTGCACGTCTGAGGGCATGAACCCTGTTCTCGCAATGCAGTAATGGCTATTGAAAGTAGGATTTGGTTTTGAATGGAGGGATGAAGCTATTGTCAGGGAAGGTGGGTCCACAATTCGCACTTGTTGTTACTATTTTTGTGACAAAGTAAAGACAGTTTTACATCGCAGAAAAACATGACATAAATTTCATTTGAGGGAGAAATTCTGGGATGGAATCAAATAGGTAGAATCAAATGAAGTAGCTTACTTTGGAACATGTTAAAAACATGAATCCATTTGTGAGTTTAGAGATATTCAGGTCATGGTGTGACTATAATTCCTCGTGAAATGAACATTAAATTTTCCTTCTTTGGAAGGAACGCTCAATGATAATATTAAAATGAAATCTCTTCTGCTTATAAATATTCCAAGACAAATCAATTACATATTTCACAGATGTGTCAAAATATTCAAAATCAGACCTACATGTACCTATAATGTCAAGAAAGCAAAATTAGCAGTTGGTTATCTTCATTGACTTGGCAGTTTTTTGAACTTCACAAAATTTAGTTCAAGGTTATGTTCCTCATGGTAAATAGATTAGATAAACCACCCAAAATCTTATGAGATTTAAATCATCCACCTATTTCAATTTCCTGTGAATGTCTGACTCAAAGGATTACGAATTAAGAATACTTTGTAGATCTATAAGGTTTGGTGCAATTAGGAATTGATGAGCCCATGATTGAATGAGCTGCTGATTACTCAAGGGGGAGGGGGAGGGGGCATGGAGGGTGTAAGATGTAGCGATTAAGTTGTTTACATATGGTTTTGTTATGTACTTGTAGAAGTGGATCTCAAAGCAAAATGGTAACTGGGTGGTAGGCCTACATCCATTATCTGAACACAGCAAGGGCCTTGTGAATTGTAAACTAGAGAATGATGGGAGGGGGCGGGGCAGATGCAGTGAGTGCTTCGTTCACATGTGGTGTTGTTGTGGATCTTTGATAACAAAATGGTTTCTGGGAGGTACATGTGCATGTATAGTCATAGTCTGAACACAGCTAGAGCCTCTTGAGTCTTGTTCAGTATACCAGAGAAAGGGGTTTATTGTATGTAGTTGACCCTTCCTGTGACACCACACTCCCCTCTTTCTCACTTTTTAATTGGGGCTGGAACATTTGAGGTAGGAGAAGCGTTAAGTGGGGGCGGATCCAATAGCTCTTGGCCACTCGATGATCATTGAATTCTTACAAGTGGTTCGCCCCCTCCAGTTATATAAGGTATTGTGGTGTGACCATAATGATGGGTATTAATTCTGTTACGGAATGGGACCATGTAAAGGTCTCTGTCGTAAGGTAACGTCTCTGTTGTAAGGAGAAAAGTTATGTGGAAGTGTTTTGCATCCTAATCATAATCTATTAGGTAGTGCATATAAAAGCCAGTCTTTGAGCACTATAGTGCTTCTTTCGTTAATTACTTCAAAAATACTTAGTTATTACCTGCCCAGAACCAGAAGGGTGCCATATCATATCATTTAAATCAGGTTAATGCCCTTCCGGCTCTTAAAAGAAAGAAGAGCTTGTAATAGCTTTGTCAGCCCTGCCCTATAAATCCACTTGCGCATAGCTTTTCATTGAAGACACAAAACAAATATGTCTAAAATTATCACAGTATGTGTAGAACACAATAAAGCCATCTGCAGTTGAAATGTTCCATTCCTTTCAGGTGTGTCAAAATCCTTGTCTGGCAAGGTTGAGACCAGTATTGTCTGAAAGTGGAGGAAGGGGGGGGGGCACAAATGAAAAAAAAATCTCTTTACAAGAAGAATAGTACTTCAGTAAAAAAAAAAAAAAAAAGGAAATGGTTATCACATGTTAAGGGGCCTGAAAAGGAGGAAGTCTGTTTTTGCCCCCCCCCCCTCCCCCCCCCCCCCCCCCCAACTCAGGCCTGGTTTTTCTGTCTACATGTAATTTCTTGAGTGATGCTCAAATTAGTGCTGAGTCAAAGCTATGATTTCCAATCATGCTGTCTGATCTCTAAATCCCGACGGATATCGGATGTTCAAGATCTGGAAATGGAGGCAGACAAACTTACAAGTTTAACAGGCTGTGAATTGACTCATGTTGCTTTACTTCTCGCTGGAAATTTAAAAGTTTCAGAGTTGTACAAATTTGTTTGTTTTGCCCATCAGCTGTCAGGTTGACCTGAATATACTGGAATAGGGAATAAAGTCTAGAATTCTGTAGGATAGAAATTTTCTTTTGAAAATAATGTGGAGAAGCTGCAGAAAATGAATGAAAATGTCAGTTTTTATTTTGGAGGTTAGAATGAAAAGAGATGTACATGTAATATAAAAGTATAATTTTCCTGTTTGGAGCCAGAAGGGTGTTAACTCAAATTTTAAAACAGACTTAATGCCCTTTCAGTTGTAAAACAGATGATCTTATGAATTTTTGATATAGGAGTTTCACAGATATTTCTACTAGTCCCAGTACATTGCTAATCTGCCCATAATTATATTTCATTGTCTTTGCTCTGTTGTATAAAAATAGATTTTGCTTCGAAAGGTACATGAAACAATTACACTTTTATTTTGGAATAAAAAATTTTACTGCTGAAGTGGGCATTCTACTCTCCATTAATAATGCTGATATGTTATCATATCATCTACCGGTACTTAAAGTTACTGGAACAGTGGAAGGTTTACATACAGTTGTAATGTATATCATGAAGTTAGAGAGGAATGAGAACTCTCTCCACTATTTTGCTAATTATGTGCAAAGCGCTCTCTTTGTTTTGTTACATTACTATTTACCTTGCAAGCTATTAGTAGAAAGCCTAATTAAGTCACAGTGATAAGGAAGTAAGTGTCAAGTTCTGTTATTAAATTTATGACAGATGATGTAACGTGTGCTGTGATAGGTCGGAATATAAAAGGACTTTGCTTCCTCTAATATTATTAGGCTTGAACTGTGCTCTGAAAATCATTTCATACAAGTGTACTTTGACAGAATGGATTGAGAGATCGGAGCTGTGAGGATTGTTATATCTATAGAGATTACTGTAAGTGTAAAAGTTCACAGTTGGAAAATAAAAATTGTCTTTTGTAATGGTAGCACTAGCAATCGATACACCATTATCCATTGATTCCATTGTAGTGTAGTTGTTGATACTTTTATTGTCTTTTGTTAAAGTTTGATTGTGTGATAATTCACCCATTTGTTATTGGCATGCCATTGTTATAATCACATGTTTATATTGTTAACTCATTAGGTGATAAAGTTGCGTGTGTCATAATTGCTGATCATTTGAAAAAAAGGATAGGAGGTTAAAGTACAATTTTATTACGTGACATCAGATTGCTCTTTGTGATACTGGTTGACCTTAAATGCACATACATGCACACACAA